CCAAAATCAAGCCCGGCTCATCAGGAACTAATACAGCTAGTCCTCGGCTTACAGCAGATCTGTCATGTCCCTGTTGGAATCAGATTCCGAGGGGGAGGTCGAGCAGCTGACAGGAAGTGGGAGTGTGGCTCTGGTGGCTGTGGAAGAAACTGGGGAAAGGCACAGTCCAGCTGGGCATTCAGTGGAAGACCCAGGCCCTCCCCCTCTTCATCCTAGGGCACACAGGAAGGAACGGATAAGGGAGCAACTTGGGTTATGGGGGAGAAAAGGGCCCCGATTCCCTTCATTAGCTGCAGCTAGGAAAACAGGATTTTAAAAGGGCGTTTGCGCACAGCACCTTGCTGGAAGCAAAGTGGGCAATATCTTTGTTTGTTGAGGCTTATCTGGGTTCTGGCGTCCTCCCAACTGTGTGTGTTTTGTTATCTTTTGAAGTCTGCAATTCCTTATCCTACCCTGTCCCGTTAATTGCTGTGGTGTGGTTTGTGTTGGTTTTTATTTATAATTTATATGTACTTTGGGTTTGGACTGAATTTCTTCCCTCTAAAGACTGTTCTTGGGAGAGTTTTTTCTCCAGCTGAAGATAACTGGACATTGGGGGCCAAGTTGGCGGTATTAAAGGGACTTTACCTACTTTTGTGACTTTGTTGCTTTTGTGCCATGCCCTGGGTCATCACAAGTTCATTTAGTGACCGTTCAAAGTGGCAATGGCACTGAAAAAAGCAGCTTATGAGTGGTTGACTGTTGACTGTTTTGACCGTTGCAGCATCCCCATGGCCACACGATCAAAAGTCAGATACTTGGCAACTGACTCATATTTATGACTGTTGCTGCATCTTGGGGTCATGTGACCCTCTTTTGCGACTTTCCAACAAGCAAAGTCAATAGGGAAGCCAGATTCACTTAACAACCATGTTACTAACTTAACAGCTGCAGTGATTTACTTAACAACAGTGGCAAAAAAAGGTCGTAAAATGGGGCAAAACTCATTTAACTGCTTCGCTTATCAGCAGAAGTTTTGGGCCCAGTTGTGGTTGTAAGTCAAGGATTTCCTGTGTTCATTTTCATTGTTTCATGGAACAATCAATGGCTGTTTGATCATTCTAAGGAGAAGAGGAACTTCATGCAGAGCAACTAACATTGGTGGGTGAAGAACAATCACAGCCAAACAGTGATGGATAGCAGCTGCTACAATTCTAATAACATTTTACACAAACAATTAAAGCCACATTGTTCCACTGGAGTTTTGACTGAGGGTTGCTTGAATCTGAATCTGAACCTCTTTGTGATTTTTTTTAAAAAAACTTCATATCGTGTTAAAGGGCCTTGTGAGCAGAATAAAGATTTGAAATTATTTTTGATGACAAATAGCTTGGACAACTGACTTTTGATGGCTTTTTAATTTAGTTGGGATTACAGTTCAGTAGAAGTCCAAAGCAGCTCCCCAGGAGGCTTTTACCTATGAAGTATGGATGGGTCAAGAAGAACCGCTTCTTTAAGCCTTCCTACCTCCACCTCCATTAATTCCTCATCCTGTTGAGGTCAGTTTGAACAGCCTTTAACCCACCTCCAGATCGTCACTGTGATCCTACCTTCCGACCTACAAAATTGGATAGGCCTAAGCAGAGTGAATAGAAACACCTTGCTGGCATTGCATGTGGTACGCATGAAAATCGGTACAAAATCTATTTTCAGCACTTCCAGTTAAGTTATTCCAACTATTAACTGTTTCCATAACCCAACTCTTTTTGTACACATCATCTAACACTATCTAAACCTATCGGCTTGTCCAGAATAAGGGAGGGAGGGATGAAGAAGAGGAGGGAGGGAAGTTGGATGACGGAAGAGGAAGTAGGAAGAAGAGGAGGGGAGGGAGGGAGGAACAGAGTGAGGGAGGGAGGAAAAGAGAGAAGGAGAAAGAGGATGGAGGAAAAGGGGGAGGGGAGGGAGGAAGGGAGGGAGGGAGGGAAGGAAGGAAGGAAGGAAGGAAGGAAGGAAGGAAGGAAGGAAGGAAGGAAGGAAGGAAGGAAGGAAGGAAGGAAGGAAGGAAGGAAGGCAGGCAGGGTTTTTATTGCACTTTATTTTGATTTCTCCTGACGGCTGTGATGACGCAGCTATGACAGGGCTGTTTCTCAGCTCGCTTGTCCCAGTGATTTATTGCTATTCAGGTAGATGTTGGGAAGATGGGCTGGCCTTTCATTCCTGCAGAACTGCTCCCTGCTCAATCTGTCGCTTTAATAGCATCCTATCTTCTATTTATTCAATGAATATTTATGAAGGTCCTTAATGAAGAAGATGGGGAGCACACAAGGGAAGGAGGGAAAGAAAAAAAGAGAAGGGGTTTTTTTTTTTTCCATATTTGCCGTTTGTCAGATGCATCCAGATTTGTTAGTATTCAAGTGGCCTAATTTCTTGATTAAATTTCATTTTACAGATATAAATTTGGAAATTAAGTCCTGCCTTTTCAGCCAAGATAGGGAGGAGAGAAAGATGAGATAAGGAAGAATGGACACTGTTTTCTTGAAAAGGGGGTGGAGGAGTATCATGATTGGTTTTTTTTTTAATTTGCTGGATGCCAATTAACAGATCTATGACAGTCAATGGGCACCCTAGAATAGCCACAAAGGAAGGGGAGTTACCAAGTAAAGACCTAGAGAAGCATTTGCATATGATTGGCTCCTGACCCACATTTAATAAAGTGCTTTCTTTATGTGATGATTCCAATTTTGTAGATCAAACACTACATTTGCAAATCAAAATAGGACAGACATCCAGAGTTTGTGTGAGCAAACTTCAAGTTTGTGTAACATTTACATGTTGGTGCTAAACTACCATACTGACCCATATGGTCAGCTTGGCAACTATAGGTCAGTGTTAGCGAACCTTTTCAGTACCGTGTGCCGAAACAGGAGCGTGCTCGCACACAGGGGGGAGTACCAGAAACCGGAAGAGTAGCTCCCCAGTGCATGCATGCAGGAGTGCCAGGAACCACCTCAGCTTCCTGGCACATGCATGTACACCAGGGAGCTGCTCTTCCAGTTTCTGGCCCACCTGCATGCATGGAGACCAGCTGGTCAGCATGCATGCGTTCACCAGAACCCGGAAGAGCAATGGTCGATGGCTGGCATTTCCAGAGGGTTCTACTTCCGGCACATGTGCTATAGGTTCATCAGGGGCTGATTTAGAACTGCCTGGCCATAATCTTTGCCACATAACTAGGTTGTGAAGGGATTGATGGGAAAACGGAGATTACAGAGGGCTGAAGATGGGCCAAAGCAAACACTTCCTGAACCCCAACTGCGCATGGTATGGAGGTGTACATCATGCATGCTGATTGGTTGATCCAGCTTCCTGTTCCGTGTTTTGTTGTCTGAGTGCCTCCTAGCCAGAATGAACATTTGTAGATGTATAAATGCAACAACTACACAACCGCCTCTGAACAAGGATGCTTATGTTCCCTGATGAGCAGTGATGGATAAGTCTGATTCAGATCCCAGCACATTACAGGGTTTATATGAATACAAGGTGTTCTAATGTATGTTGTGAGAAACTTCCTCCCCAAATGGGCTATAAAATTGGAATTAGAAAATTAGCAGTTACTTCAAGTCTTCCCTGAAAGGTCCCATTTTCCTCTCCTTACACCCTAGGCCTAGTGACTTCTCTTCATCACTTCTCTTAACTCTCACAGAACTTATATATTTAACAGAATAAGAGTTGGAAGGGACTTGTAGTGCATCTAGTCCAAACCTCCACCCAAGCAGAAGTCCCTACACCATTTCCGACAGATGGCAGTCTCTTCTTGAAAGCTTCCAGCAATGAAGCGCCCACAACTTCCGAGGGCAACTTCTGTTCCATTGGTTGATTGTTCTCACTGTCACAAAGTTTCTCCTTATTTCTAGGTTGAATCTCTCTTTGACCAGTTTCCATCCATTATTTCTTGTCTGGCCTTCAGGTGCTTTGGAAAATAGCTCACCCCTTCCTCTCTGTGGCAGCCCCTCAAATATTAGAACACTGCTATCATGTTTCCCCTGGTCCTTCTTTTAATTAAACCAGGCATATCCATTTCCAGCAACTGTTCTTTATAGGTTTTAGCCTGCAGTCCCCTAATCATCTTTGTTGCTCTTCTCTGCACTTATTCTAGAGTCCCAACATCTTTTTTATACTGTGGTGACCAAACTAAAGGGTTCCTCCAGAGTAATCCAAGCAGAAATCTAGAACAATATAAAGATCCAATTTTTTTTTCATGAAGATGATTAATCGACTTACAAGAATAATTCGTGAAGAATAACTGTTTTACAAGCCTGTAAAATCAAGAGAATCGGACACAACTGTTAAGTTCATTGATATACATCCTTCATGTTGTTGTTTCTTTTGTGGAGAAAAATATTTTTAATTAGTATTTACTTTAAAAACCCTGATTTTACAAAGATTTACAACTTTGGGAAGTTGACTCAGACTGAGTATTATACATCATTAAATAATAACTATAATAGAAAAGGGAGATCAAAAGGGCTAATAATGTAATTAAAAATGCAATTAATTTGGACAGATCAATCCCATCAACCAACTTGATATAATAATATATAATTGACCAAAACATTAACAAATTAGACAAAAGCAGCTGAAATGAGGGGATTATGGGGGTGAGGAGGCAGTAAATCAAGAATGATCTCAATTCACTCATGAGATTTTGTTTAAGGAGGAGACATTTTGTAACTTATTTTAATATGTTCTTTTTCCATGACAAGATTCTTGTAAGAAGTAAACCTCAAGGGATTAAAAAAAACCTGAATTCTGAATTTCTCCCACATAGTCATACGTCATATAAAAATCTTAACATTAAAACTTTAGAAGAGACTATTTGTAGCTCAAGGCTGAACTGTGGATTCCCTGGTGTACTTTGGGCTTGGTTGTTTTCTTAAGGATGTTTCATTAACCAAACTTTGTAACATCTTCGGTGCTAGAAGAGGGTTGAATTTGCACTCCCTTCTAGTACTGATGGTATCAGCTAGATGGGTAATGAAATGACCGCAAGAAAACAACCAAGCTCAGGGAAGCACCAAGGACTCCATAAACTTTTTTTAAAAAAAGCTACTGTGTGGAACTCTACCTCAAAAAAATTATTGGGATCCAAAATGAAATTTTTCCCTCATTTCCTCAAGATAGCATATAATTTTGGGAGGACTCTACAATTTCTTATCGATAAAACAGATGCAATCTTTCAATGAGAAACTCAAGCGTGATCCAAGATGCCAGCAATTTTGTGAATCTCTATTTGGGGCCACTCAGAATGTCCAAGTGTCTTCTCACTGACAAAGGTGAGAATGGGTACTCAGATCCAAGCAAAGGTTTCTCATCAGTCAAAAGGTTTTCAATTGGTGGCTTTCACATCTCTTTGGACCCAATCCTGGTGTGTCGATTGCTCAATGCAAGTCGTGAAGCTTCTGATGAATCAACGATGTCAACCATGGAACCCTTTCACTTGACAGCATTCAGTAGGAAGGTCCTTTGACAGAACCTACTTCAGTTAGCTGAGCTGAGGCAGAGGCCCCAAGGCAGACAACTGCCTCACAAAATCCAGGAAGGCCAGAAGGCCCAGGTAAACCAGGACGTCCTGCTTCTCCTGGAGTACCTGGAACACCTCGCTCTCCATGTTTGCCATTGAGAGCTTGACCAGGCTGACCAGGGGGACCTGAAAAAGGAAACAATGTACACTTTATAATTGAGTGCCATACCAGCTTCCACAACCACTATTGCTTCTCAAAGTTCTAAAGACCCCATCATCTCTAGAAGACTTGGGTGAAGTCTCAGAATTCATGTTCTATTAGCCACGAACTTTCCTGCCATTTCAGGAAAGAAGGCCTGAACAACGGGACTTGGACGTGCAACAAACAAAAATCTAACACCCAAGCTAATGCAAACTGGAGGTCAGCTACCTCCTAATGGCCGATGCTTCAGATCTGGTGAAGAAGGAACACCACAGGAAAAGAGACTATGCAGACTGTATGCTGATGTCCCTTGAGAGCTCCAACAGTCTCTACAAGAACTAGACCTGGGATCTATTGACATCAATTGTTTAGAAAGCAGTGGTGGGCAGAAAACATAGTGGTGAAGCTGGAGATCATCAAAGAACCTCCATAGCCCAAGGTCTCTTCTGTCATTGCTTCTTCTTACCACTGTTTTACTTCTCAAGATATAGATATTTCACTTCTTTCTTGTAAGTACAAAATCTACTGTATCCATAACTAAATGAAGATGTATATCATTCCCCAAAGTCATCTCCTCTAGACCTTTGGTGACAGCAACTCCTTCATCCCTCCCACCATGAAAAATGATTGAACAATTCCTTTCCCGTTCCCAGTAAAGAGAAAACAAAATCTTTCTCAAGTGAAACTGCCATACTATAAAGAGAGAGTTACACTGCACTGATTTTATTACCTCAAATCCATAGCTGTAAAGATATCCACACTTTCTCTAAAACTGCAAAAGATTCACATGTGGTTTATTTTGTGCAGTGTCTGAAGATGGAACTTTCCATAACTATTTCTTTTATTTATTAATTCTGAATGCCACCCGTCTCCCACATAAAGCATGACCCCGAGTGGCTCTGACTGTCCTCCAAATATATCCCGTGTCAGTGATTAGCTAGCAGTTATTCCACACTTGGAGGAGGAACCCAATCTTACACGTCTGTTTCTCTCAAGGTAGCTCCAAAAGATCCTCTCACCTGGTATGCCTAGAGGCCCTGGCATCCCTTGATGTCCACGGCCAGCTTCTCCTTGGTCTCCTTTCTCACCCCTCTTTCCTGTGGGATAAGGAAACCACAACAGCGAACCCTTATTAGATCCACATTTTCTAGACTTACTATTTCACTGGACTTTCTTTCCAGTTCTTTCCAGTTAAAGACTGTGATGACTCATAGCGTCTCAAAAATAACACAAAAACTAAAACGTGAATCAAGGTATTGTAATGCCTTCAACTTAGCTTCGCTGTTTTATTAGTCACAGTTTAAATTCAAAAAGTAGATAATGAAGCAAAAGGAAACCAAAAACAAACCATATTGACGAGAGTTCCAAGGCAAACCAAGATAATTAATCACACATTCCAGGAAGATAACCAGAAAGAGTCCATGGGAAGAATGCCGACAAAGATAAACCTCATCCAAGGAAAGAAATAATTTGTCTTCAGCGTCTGTGAACACGCAGTTCCAAACTCTTATACAGCACTCACGGCTGCAACCCATGAGGAGGATCATGGCCCTCTCCTCCCAGGTAGACCAGGCTTTTCCCTGATCGTCTCCTCCCTGCGTGCCCTAGGATGGATAGGGGATAGGCCTGGGTCCTCCTCTGATTGCTCAGCCGGCTTCTGCCCTTCCCCATCCTCCTCCACCACCTCCGGGGCCACACTCCCACTCCCTGTTGGCTGTTCCTCCTCTTCCTTATAATCAGCCTCTACCAGGGGCATGACAAAGACAGCCACAGGGGTTTCAAAAACAAAGGCACATTTTAAACCCAGGATGCAGACACAAACACTTGGAAGGAATTCAGACTGGCTCCACCCTAACTCACTGGAGTGTAACAGGGGCAAAAGGAGAAAAATAATCAGACTTTGAAGATTCTGTGGTTTAATGGCTTCTGGTCAGTGCTAACTCCTGATGACTGCCTGGACAAGTCCCTCCAGTTTTCTTGGCAATGATTTTAGAAGTGGTTTACCACTGCATCCTTCCTAGGGCTAAGAGAGAGTGACTGGCCCAAGGTCACCCAGTTGGAATTGTGCCTAATGCAGAATTAGAACTCACAACCTTCGATTTCTAGCCTGGTTGCTTGATCATTACACCAATCTCTAAGAATCTGTTATTATAGCCTGTACCAACATAATTCCAAAATGTGGCCTCTTGTTTCCGGATCAGACCCACCTCAAAGAGCTGACACTAACCCTTATCTCTAAGTAACTGACCTGTAAGACAATAGCCACAGAAATCCTTAGCTGATCTTAGTGCTTGGATGGATTATGCAGATTCTATCAAGAAAATACTTCAGAAATATTTTGATATCCTGTTATGGTTCGCCGGCAACCAGTGCGGATGGCAGAAGTCTCCGACAGTGAGGATGAAAGGGAACCAGTCAGGGAGGCTGTTGAGGACTTGCACGAGGGTCCTGCATCCGATGTAGGGATGGGGCCAGGACCATCTGGGAGTGGGGTGCTACCTCCGGAGCCTTCGGAGTCTGGCAGCAGCGAGGCAGAGGAACAAGGGGAGCCTGTGCACAGTGCGCGTGTGCACAGGGCTGCTCGAAGGAGAGAGCAGCTGAAGCAGCAAGGGCGACTCGGGAGTAAGGCTGAAAGGTGATTGCCCCTCCCATAAGGGATAAAAACCAGCCCTCGGGGATGTGCTCTTGCAGGAAGTTCTTTAGATTCTGAGTCCTCACTGAAGCCCCGCTAACTCCGGTTTGTTTTTGAAACTTCTGTTGGTGGATATTTATCAGTAATTAGATTTCTGTTCTTGGCAGCCTTTTGTAACCTTGAAAGGACTTGCTTTTATCTTGGACAATTAGCTTTAAATGACTCTTGGCTAGGAATGCACAGAATTCCCAGTGCCGCATTTAAAAAGGTTTGCTTTTATACATAGTTTGTGTTTGCTTAATTTGAACAAGGCTTGGGTCAGAACAGATCCTGCAATTATACTGGGATGACAACTCCCAATAACATGATTTATAATGGAAAAACAAAATGAAACTTTCACAGCTTGAGACTGAAAAAGGAGAACAGGAGGATCCACTGGGGAGTGGTAGAGGCTGAATTCAGTTTAGGATGAATTTTAGTAGCACCAAGATAAAGGTACCACCCAAAATACTGAGGGATTGAACAGATGTTCCTGGCAAAATTCTCCAGGCAATTGACTCCAGATGTTGTTGATATCCAATAAGTAGAGAGGAGGTATCTAGTGTTTGGGCAGTTGCCTCTAGCTGAAAGTAATTCTTTTCCCAGTATGAATTAAGACTTCTTTAACAAGATTTGTTGAAAGGTTTGGTGGAGGAAGAATTCCCCATTTAGAACCCACGTTTCCTAAAGAATTAGGATAGAGTATTTTGTAATTTCTTTGTAATGGCTTCTCTAGGAACTTCAAGGATAACATTCTTCTTATTGATCAGGAATGAATTTGCAGGTGTCTCTTCATGTCTTCCAAACCCTCATCAGATAACAACAAAACCTGACATGAAGTTTCCATGCAAAGACCTCTTCCTACCTTTGGGTCCAGTGTTGCCTATCTGTCCAACAGCTCCTAGGATTCCTGGAAGACCACGGGAACCAGGATGTCCATGGGGGCCTTGGGAGCCAGGTGGTCCAGGGGGCCCTGGAGGGCCAGGAGGTCCCATCACGCCGCTTCCACCCAAAGTTTCTCTTTTCGCACTCACAGCTAACTCAGCCAGTTGTTCTGGAAGGCAAAGATGAAAAGAAAAGCAGTCCTTTATCTCCCAGGTGTCCTCTGCCACCCTTCCCAAATTCAGGAGGTTCAAGACAGACAGGGAGGACATGTTTCTCCACAAATGTACTCTGCTCCTCAACAGCTGTGTTTACGCAACTGTGTTAATTACTATCCTAGCAGCTGTATTTGCACAACATGATGAGCTGGATTAGTTTTTGTTCGGTTCAACAATTTCTAGATTAATGTTTTATATGAACCCAGCTAGTTTGTTAGCTTATGATTCAAGTTACTGTAGACATTCAGAAAATGGATTAAATCCGAACCAGGTAAAACGTGTTCTGTAACTGCTGCTTGATTTCTGGGAACTTTGAGGATATGAACATGGAACACTTGCCCATATCTTTTGCATAATACCAGTTTTGGAATTCTTTGGTGGTTCTTCCTTCAGGAAGCAATCGGCCTTGATTCTGCTTAGCTTCTGAGTCTAGGCAATATTGTCAAGTCCAGGGGTGTCAAACTCAAGGCCCGATGGCCAGATTTGGCCTGCGGGGTGCTTAAATCTGGCCTGCAGGGCTGGCCTGAAAATAGCAAAGGACCAGCCTGCAGTGCTTCTGGCAGCCCAAATGGGACATGTTGGGGCCATGGGCATCACCCCCATGCCCCGTTTTCAGCCTGAATGGCCTTCTGCAGCACTGTGCCAGCCAAAATGGGGCACAGGGGGGCCTTCTGCAGTCAGGGGCTGCAGGTGTCTGTCCCTGCCAGCCAGCCCATGGAGAACTACAATGCTGATTTGGCCCTCAAAGAAATCCAGTTTGACACCCCTGGTCTAGGGATGGCCTCTGCTTAGATCAGGGGTGGAGAATGATAACTTGTGTACTTCAACTCCCAGAATTCTTGAGCCAGTCATGCTGGCTCAGGAATTCTGGGAGTTGAAGTCCACAAGTCATAAAGAGGCCATAGTTCCACCTCTGCTTTAGAACCTGAGTCTTACATATTAAAATGGCCGACTCAGGAATTCTGGGAATTGAAGTCCACAAGTCATAAAGGGGCCATCATTCCCCACCCCTGGCACAGATGGTTTTACTGAATATGGATTAATGAATGGCCATTAATTAAAGCTAAACTTGCATGTCAGACCATCCTCAGGCCATCTGCATCTTGTTTGAATCCCCAATGAACCCGCATCACATTACAGAAGTCCTTGACTTACGACAGTTTGTTCAGTGACCGTTCAAAGTGGCAATGGTACTGAAAAAAAAGTGACTTTATCACAATTTTTCAAATTAAGGACCATTGCAGCATTCCCACAGTCATGTGATCAAAATTCAGATGCTTGGCAACTGGTTCATACTTATGACCGTTGTGTCCCAGGGTCATGTGTCCAACTTTGGCGACCTTCGGACAGGCAAAGTCAATGGGGAAGCCAGATTTACTTAACAATCAGGTTACTAAGTTAACAACTGCAATGATTCCCTTAACAACTGTGGCCAGAAAAGTCGTAAAATGCGGGCAAAACCCATTTAACGAATGCCTCACTTAGCAATATCCATTTTGGGCTCAATTGTGGCCGTCAGTCGAGGATTCCCTGTTGTAAAAACTGGCCAGCAGAATTTCAATGGGGCAAAATTCAAGGTGTCGTTAGCGAGAGTTGGGGATGGATTTTAAGCACGGAGATGGGTGTTCATACAATGGCATTTCAATGAAACTTACTAAAAAAGAGACATACACATTTCGAGGGATGTCACACAACATCAATCAGGAGGCCCAGCTGTAAGCCCCACATACGTCTACAGCTCAGTGCCAGGCCCACAGGGATGAATCACTGCCACGTATGATTGGTGTTTGATTCATGAGCTTTAATTTCCTGTTGGCCCTCGGCCACCACACGGGTTCACGTGTGTGGTTTGGCCAGCGGTGCCCTTTTGATACACTGACCTTGCAGCATCTTGACCACGACTTCAACAATATGCTGGTCTCCGGTGTCCCTTCCCTGGGGAACGGAAGAGAAGCTGTGGGATTGTGATCTGCTCCTACATCACAATGCCAGCAACCACAACACTCTTAAATCAGTTTGTCAGGACCTGAGATCCCCACAGGGAGGCTTCAAGTTATTATACTCAAGCAGTGTCGGTAAAAAAAAAACTGGTCTGCTTCAGTTCTCATTCAATCTTCACTTGCCTACCAGCATCTGGGCTCAGGCCTGTCATTCCTTTCCCCACCCTCTCTCTCTCTCTCTCTCACACACACACACACACACACACACACACACAGGCTGGAGGGAGAGAGAGAGAGAGAAATCTTCAGCCATAGATGCAGCTTTTTAGTGGGAATTTCTATGCTGGAGAAATGTGTACAGCGTGCATTAAAACAAAAAGGAAAGCATTTATTTCTGTATTTTCCTCTCCTTTCTCTGTAGGGAACAAGGCCCTGGCAGAACAACCTGTTCTGCCCTTTCCTATCAGTTGGGTGGAAAGAGAATGGACTGGTATTGGAAGCTCCTGCCAATATCAAGGCCAGCAGAGTGAAAAAGAGAGGTGAAGGCACCAGGCTGGAGATTGTGAATTCTAGTCCCACTTTACGCACGGAAGCCAACTGGGTGATCTTGGGCCAGTCACTCTCTCTCAGCCCTGGAAAGGAAGCAATAGGAAAAGGTTTCCAAAATCTTGCCAAAAAACTGCAGGAACCAGGTTCCAGGAGTCAACACCATCTCAAAGGTTACATGTATATGCATATTTATATGTACATGTATACATATATGCATCTGTACTTGTATATCTGAATATACTGTATGTGTAGACAGACAGAGACACAGAGATGATAGACAAAGATGATACAGAGAGATGATAGAGACGGAGAAGGAGAGAGGAAGGGAGGGAGGGAGGGAAAGAGAGAGATTGCTATGGCATAATTAATTAAAACATTGCAAAAAAAACCCAGGAAGAGTAGGAAGCTATGGCTCTTAGAATTCCTCTTGCAACCATGGAAGCTGAAGGTCCTTGAGTTCCGTTTACAATGTTTCAAGGGGAATTCTAAGAACGGTAATTTCCTACTCCTGAAGGTTTTTCACTCACACCGCTGTCATACTGGTGCTTCACCAGAACGTCCTTCATGAAAGTGAAATTGCGTTTAGAAGGGTGGCAGTCTAGAGGAGCGTCTCTGCGTGGAGCAGATTATCTCAGGGAGAAGAGACTTGTGCAGAGGCACCTCAGAAGAGACCTGCCAAACATTCTTCTTTTCACAATAATGAAACGGCTCTCAAAAGTCAAGGATCAAAGTTCTTCAAAAGCAGTCTCATTTCAAGGGACTCGTTCCAAGTTGGAGTGGGAAGCCTCCTCTAAGATTCAACCTCTGAAAGAGGGGATGGCTGAGGGACCCAAGGAAAGAGACACCTTGCAATTGGAAGGCCAGGTCACAACAGTACCACACTAATCTTTGACAAGTATCCCAAGTAACGTCGGTAATCCCTCTTTTGTGTTCCAGGAAGGCTCACTGGTCTAATTCCATGCCAGAAAAATCCTGGCCAAGGTGATACCCTGTTTCTCCAACAATACGGCCTCCCCCAATAGGAAGTCCCAGCATGTTTTATAGGCATGAAATGAAATTAAGCCCCTCCCCCCAAAATTAAGGCCTATATTAAAACATGCAAAATGTGGGGGAATGGTGGGGGGGCTTGCCATTAGGAAGTACTTTTGATGCACCCCCAGATATGGTGCTGCCTGCGTTGACCCCAATACGAAGTGCCCCACCAATGCCGAGGTCAACATCCAAGCCGTCGCCGCCTGCCCGAAGATTCAAGGGGGGGGGGGTAATTAAGTCACCCCCGAAAAGATGGCCTAGTCATTTTTTCGGGGCTCAAAAATAATAATAAGACCCGGCCTTATTATATGAGAAACACGGTACTAATTGGAAGATAGAACTCGCATGAACAGAGTCATAATGAAACCTTCTCAGTAGATCTTAAGAGAAGAAAAGATCTTAGAGATCTTTTCTCTCTAAGATCTCCTCTTCTGTTGTGAGGTATATACCAGGTTGACACCATTCTTCACAGGTGTGGAAATGAACCCTAAAATTCTCCACAATGGTCACACGGGATAGAGAATTCTGAACTTGAAGTCATTTGGCCTTAAAAACTGCCGATATGCCAGCTCTGTAGTGGCATTCCACCACGGCACGGAACTTCTATAATATTTACTTACTGGGCCACCTGGCAACCCAGGCATTCCAGGTACACCACGTTCCCCATTCAGCCCTCGGGGGCCAGGAGGTCCTTGAAAGCCTCGGACTCCAGGTGCTCCAATGTCTCCAGGAGGTCCAGGAAAACCAGGTTCCCCGTGGATGCCTTGCTGTGAAAGGACAAGAGCAAAGTTTCTTAACCTCAGCAACTTTAGGGTGTGTGGGCTTTTTGTCATCAAGGGTGGACGTGTGACAAAGCAAAAACAATAAATAAATGGGAGTATAATTCATATTTTAATACAGAAAATTTTGAAAACAGAGATCAAAATGAAACCAGAACTTTTCCTTTCGGGCCTAATGAAAAAGACCTGAAGAAAAAAAAAAGGGACTTTGTTACTATATATGTTGACAGCAGCAAGGCAAAAATGGAAGGCCACTTCGATTTGTACTACGGATGCATAGCTGCAGAAGTTGATGGAGTTGGCTGAAATGGCAACATTGACTAGTTTGATTAAAGAAAAGAATATAAGTGCTTTTGTTTCCACATGGAGACCGCTTCTGAAATTCGTGCTTGAAGTGGAAAAGAATAAAACTTTGATTTTGGATTTTACTGAGTAGATTGATTGATCTTTATAGAAATGGCTTCTTTGTATTATTATGGGAAAGTAAAAAGCTGTGATTTGATGCTAGTGCCTTTTTTACTGCATCAGAGAGTCAAAAGTCAATGGTTCTTTTTCTTTTCTTATCCTTCCTCACTTCTCTTCCCCCTCTTCCTCCCTGCTGCTTTTCTATTTACTTTTGTATTTTGTATCTTATAATGTTTTATAAGTCAATAAAATATGTTAAACTCTGAAAGATGTGTGGACTTCAACTCCCAGAATTCCCCAGCAGGTGTGCCCATGATTCAATTAACAATCGGAAGTGGAACTGCTGGAAGTGTCATTGTAACTTAACATAGTCATGGAATTTTTCACTTTACAACCATGTCACTTAGCAAGTGAGTTGTTGGGCCCAATTATAGTCATTAACTGAGCACCAGCTGTATTAAAATCCCTCCAAATGATGAGAAGCAGAAGTAGTAACAGATGCATCCATTTTAATTTTTAATATGGTAAATATCAAAAAATATAACTCATGTAAACAAAAACTCTTTTGGGATCTTCCAATGATTTTCAAAAGTCAGAAGGAGTCCTGAGAGTAAAGAAAAAAATAAGATCTAGCTATCTTAAAAATATTTGATGCAAAAATGTTCCAATACGTAGCAAACGTGGCTTTGTATTATGTTAAAGAAAACTGTCTGACGTTTGCCTTAGCATTTATTATCAGTTTTTTATTTTTGCTATTTGAAGGTGTTAAAAATGTAAAACAGTGCAATTATATGGTATATGCAAGGGATAAGCTACAGAGATAAAAAAACTATTTTTTATATAAAGTTACAGATCTGCCAAAATTATCGTTTTGTTCTTAGCATAAATAACCCATTATCCAAGCCTTTTTCCCCATAAGAACAGTTATTTCTCATGCCCAATCGCAAAAGTTATTACGGTATCTATTTTTCCATATTTATATATGTGGATACCCAAGATAAACCACACTGTTCAAAATAAGATATAATAGCAAATTTACCTGTCCCTTTGGTCCAGGTTCCCCCAGTTCACCCTAAAAATAAAGAACAAGGAGAAATGTTTAGCTGAGGGTCCAAATAGGCAAGAGATTTTGAGCCTTCTGGGGAAGAACAATTAACCGGTGGAACGGCTTGCCTTCAGAAGTTGAGGATGCTCCATCACTGGAGAGTGGTTTTTAGAGACTGGACAGTCTCTTGTCTGAAATGGTGCAGGGTCTCCTGCTTGAACAGGAGGCTGGACTATAAGACCTCCAAGGTCCCTTCCAACTCTGTTACTCTGTTATTCTATCAAGGAGCTGGCAAATTAAGTCAGCTTCTAAGAATTCCTCTGTGGACAGGGAGAGGACACGGGATCACTCACACTCACTCCAGACATCAGCTCTCCATCAGGAGACTGCAAGACAGTGGTCTCCAGCAGGTTCAGAGCTCTGGGAGCCAAGGGAATAGCCATCTTTGCTCAAACGACAGCCACCCCCTTTGAAAGGATACTGGATTCACCTATTTCCTTTCTTAATCACTTCTGGAAATTGCTCGTTAATCATTAAGGGGAATGGACTTCAACTCCTGCCTGCTAGCTGGAAAATTCTGGGTGTTGCAAGTCCACTCCTCTTAAAAGGGCTGAGATTAAGAAACTCTGCTGTAGACCATCTCACCTTCTGCCCCTTTCCTCCAGAAAGGCCTTCAACACCAGAATCCCCCTAGGAGAAAAAAAGAAGAAGAAGAAGAAGCCATAATAACAATCAGCCCTCTCACGCGATGACCATTGCTACTGCCTTCTCAGGCTGCTCCAGGCAAGGGGGCAGCGCAGTGAAGGTACAGAAAAGCGCTTTCTCTTTGCCCTCCATCGGCCACCAGCCAACTGAAGGAGCGCACTGTGACCAAGCAGAACTGGACCCAACTCAGCTTCACCTGCCCACTGCAGCTCCCTCATTTATTTTTGATTTCTGGTTTCCAATTGACTTCACACAAACCAGACAAGGACAGTCAGAGGTACAGATGTGGCCCAGAGGCCATAAAATGCCCAGCTCTGATTTGGAAAGTCCTAGATGAAGAGAGACCCTCAAGCTACTGGAGCAGAGAGAAGATACATCTTAACTATTACGTTTGGAGATAGCTTGACCTCTGGACAGAGACATCCACAGGATCTGATGCTTTAAGTCAACAGAATGAAAATAGCATTGTGGCCATTGCGATGATTGATTGCGTCCCTTTTATACATGTCGGTCTTTAGATCTGCTGGTGGAACTGATAGGATCAAGCTCATTCAGCCCATTTTTGGGGTGGGTAGGAGGGTGACTAGGTTGAAGGGTGCTTCCTCCTGCTTCATTTCCTTCCCTATCTGAAGAGGAGTCAACAGCAACCTTGAAATTCAGCCATTTTATTGTAAACCAGCAATGTCATTTCAGGATCCTGGGTGGTGGGGTGGGGGTGGGAAGTCCGTGTGAATCTTGCTTCTGTGAACATGCGCTGCAGTTGTGAGAGCTCAATATCGTTTTTCTCCATTATCCCAGGCCATTTAATCTTTCCACTTGCCCACATGCACCGAGACTGTCTGGGCTCATGAAAATCTTTCTGTTTTTCCATATTTATTTCATAGTTATTGGCTAGGCTGCATCTGCTGCTGTTTCTCCATTGATTTCTATGATTAATTGTACAGCTCTTTGTATGTTTCGTTAGCTGTCCAGGGAATATTTTATGCTGAAGGCACCACCAGAACAAAACTTAAAGAAATAAAATATGATCAAAAGAGTAGGCAATAAATTGCTGGTTGCTTTACTAGGGTAGCTGTGTAATAATGATGATTAAAAGGGAAAAATGCAACAGATGTACTTACGATATTGCCTTTGGATCCAATTTTTCCTGGGAAGCCCTACAGGGAAGGGAAAGGGAAAAGCACGATAATTTAGAAGACCTGGAATCTATTGCAGCACTCTGTGAAGGTTTTCAACAGGTTTACTCCAGATGGGTTGGGACTATACAATTCCCAAACTGAATATCCAGGAAAACTAGATAATCTAATCATAACCAATATCATTTGGGGATGTTTAGACTGCAGAAAACCAAATCTGATCCCACAAGGTTCTTGTATTGTTCTTACTATAAGCAATCTAATTAACAATCCAAGTCTCTATTCTGGGCCACCAATTTTAATGTTATCCAGATCAGGACAAGCCACCTTTTGGATCATTCAGGATCTCAGTGAGGAGTAAGTGCATTAAGAATTGCCTTGCAAACCAATACGGTAGTAGTGGTAGGGAATGGTCAGATAAGATAAGGCATAACCTGCAGCTGCATAATGAGCGAGCCACGGTGGTGCAATGGTTAGAGTGCAGTACTGCAGGCTACTTCTGCTGACTGCCGGCTGCCTGCAGTTCAACTCTCCTCAGGCTCAAGGTTGATGCAGCCTCCCATCCTTCCAAGGTGGGTAAAATGAGGACCCAGACTGTTGGGGGCAATAGGCTGACTCTGTAAACCACTTAGAGAGGGCTGTAAAGCACTGTGAAGCGATATATAAGTCTAAGTGCTATTGCTGTAACTGTAATGTAAGATTAATGTAAGCCTTCTCAGCTAGACCAGGTAAAAAACAACCAGATGAGCTAATTCTACTTTACTGTGAGGCTGCCTAAACAGAATCTTGCAAGTACAAATCACCTTTAGAGCTTGGGAACTTAGGGAGGGTCCCTTCTGACCCTCTTTCTCCACCCATTAATGCAGCTGTGGGTTATTCCCTCTCTTATCTGTTCTCTAGGCAGAGCAGTGCAGTGGCTTAAGAGGTGGAGCTCTCGCCTCACAATCAGGAGGCTGTGAGTTTGATCCTAGGTAGCGGCAGATATTTCTCTCTTTGGGTGCAATGAGTTGCAAACTCTGCAAAGGCGCCAGGAAAGGCATCTGGCCAGTAAATTCTCAAGCTTTGTTCAGTCGCCCCGACTCCACCCTGATGCAAGGAATAAAAGGGTTGTTAAAAGGAAAAAAAAATCAGTTCTCTAAGCAGTATCTCTGCCCTGTCTGCCAAGGTCATTCTCACACACCATCAGAAGTGGGCAAGGTCACCATTCCCTCCCCCACTTCCCGCCTCACACACACACACACACACACACACACACACACACAAAACACCTTTTGGAGGGCACCTATATAACTGAGAATCAGTAATATGACACATATGAGTGCTATGACTACAATAACTCTACTGAGCAGCACTCAAAGATCTTCACAATCAAAACATTTTAATTAAATATTTACAGTGGCCAAAATCTCGTTACATTGCCACATCTGATCTGTTCTGTGAGGACATATAAGCTATTATCAAATCTATTTTTTTTCTGTTTTCATGAATCAGTTAACATTTTAAACTTCTAGGCACTTCACAATGCTACATGAAATCATTCAACACTGCTGGAAAAATTTAGCTGCCAGGAAAAATGGGGATTGCAAAGACAAAAATCTTGCGGAGTGTGTGTTTTTTTTTAATCAGAGCTTTTAAATTGACCATCGCTGATCACAGAATTTTGACTTCAAGTCAGGAAGATAAAAATATTACCTTGCTGCCTTTAACTCCTGGGAGTCCTTGTGGCCCTGGAATTCCAGGGGGCCCCTGGTCTCCTTTAGCGCCCTGAAAGGGAAGAGAAAAAAGAAACATGAAATGTGAGGCAGAAAAAAGAGGAATAAAACATACAAACATACCCAAACAGTCTCTTGCTCCTACAATAAAGCCTGAATTTTACACTTCAATAGGTTTAATCAATAAAGGATAATATTTGTAGCTCAGGGTTGAAATGAGTCGTCCTTGGCAGGGATGGGATTCTACTGGTTTGGCCCAGTTTGGACAAACCGGTAGCTCTGAGGATCATCTGTCAGAGAATTGGTTCGATCCAATGATCAGCTGTTGGGCCCATCCGCCCGGCTCTATTCTGACCTTTATTTACTGGTTTTCAACCTCAGCTGCTTCGCGCGGCATAGCAGATGGCCGCACACCAGCTGTTTAACACACAGGGAGATTGCAGGAGAAGATCAGTATCAAGCCCTCTGCGCCCACGCAAAGTGCGTGCTCACTGAACCAGTTGTTACACCTGTTGAATCGCACCCCTGGTCCTTGGTGCTAAGTTTGGTTGTTTTCTTACAGATGTTTCATGACCCAACTAGTTAACATCATCAGAGCACTTACATATAAATAGAGAGCAAACCCTTCTCCTTTCCACTGATAGTGTTACCTAGTTTGGGTAATGAAACTTCTGCAAGAAAACAACCAAGCTCAGGCAGCACCAAAGACCCGTCAATAAGTTTTGGATGAAGTGGAACAAATTGAGTTTGCCAAAGAACAAATTTTGGTGAATCAGTCCAGATAATGTCTGTAGATTGTGTGTATTTGGATTTAATGCATCTTTTCCTCCCAGCTGGGCCATAAAATCAAAGTTTTACTGTATCTGCAGGCCACAAAAGAATAGTTGGCAAAGATTTTATGTGAAATAGCTTAGCAACTTTCACAGGCTGTCTGAAAGATATACAATTCATAAAAGCAAAGTGTTGTTAATTAACAGTAATAACTTTTACCCTGCCTGGTGGATACATGCTAAAGCCATAAATTGAGGGTGGGGGAGTTAGCTCTGAAATCTGTCGTGACCAATAGCCCCTCTGCTTTACATCTGAAATGATATAAAGGATCTAAATTCATTAGATTAAATTAATTAAATTCAATATAAATCTTTGCATTAACCACTGATCATGGCTGGTTTCATTTTTTTTCCCAAATATAAGGGTGTCCTTAAAGAATAAGATGATTTTTGTCCATTTTTGTTCCATTCAGTTGTATCCAGTTTTGGACAAGTTTGCATAGTTTTCTTGCCAAGGACTTTCAAAATTGGTTTGCCATTGCCTTCTTCCTAGGTTTGAGAGAAAGTGACTGGCTGGCCCAAGGTCATCCAGCTAGACATGTGCCTAAGGCAGAACTAGAACTCCCAGACTCCCACTTTCTGACCTGATGCTTTCACCACTACACCATATAAATCATATCCTTACAATTTATATGGACTGTTTTCTAGTATGATTTGATTGCTTATTGTACCCTATGACTATTATTAAGTATTGTACCTGATGATTCTTGATGAATGTATCTTTTCTTTTATGTACACTGAGAGCATTTGCACCAAAGACAAATTCCTTGTGTGTCCAATCACACTTGGCCAATAAAAGAATTCGAATTCTTCTTCTACACCAAACAGGCTCTCTTTTCATTGGGTTAGAGAAAGCTAAACAATTAGCAAAGTGTCCTTGCCTTAAATAGAACTGGCCCCACTATGAGGCAATTTGGCACAGATGATTGACATAGGCTGTATCCACCTTATTTACAAAAAAATATTTCATCCATGGCAATAAGAAAGGACAAAGAAAAAAATGACCATCCAATTGCTTAAGGAGTTTAACTTCCCAAGGGTCTCTGTTTCCTTCTTGGCAGGAAGAAAAAAGGGGATCTGTTTGGATCCAAGGGTTCATACTCACCCCTTTCCCCTGTGGACCTGGAGGTCCCGTAGGCCCCCTCTCACCCCGATCTCCCTGCAAAAGAGAGGATGGAAGATCAGGTGGTCACAGGCAGAAGGAATAACCTTGAGGAACAGGAGGAAGAGCTGCAACCAAGACAATAGTCAGATAAGGAAAATTCTGAATGAGGGCTGGAACTGTAATAGCAGTAGCACTTAGATTTATATACTGCTTCACAGTACTTTACAACCCTCCCTAAGTGGTTTACAGAGTCAGCCTCTTGCCCTCAACAATTTGGGTCCCCATTTTACCAACCTCGGAAGGATGGAAGGCTGAGTCAACCTTCAGACTGGTGGGATTTGAACTGCCAAATTGCCAGCAGTCAGCAGAAGTAGCCTGAAGTATTGCACTCTAACCACTGCGCCACCAAAGTTCATCTACGTAAGTGACTCAGACAAGCCCCTCCTTTGCTCTCAAAAATAGAGGGGGAACCACATTCAGCCTTGCAAGGTTCTCTTTCTGTAAGTTGATAATAAAATTAGTTACAGTATTAATAGGCATGACTTCCTAGTTGAGTCTACATTGAAAGACTGAATCAGGAGGTCTGATTCGCCATTCACTCTCAGTTTTCCACATAAAAGAGGGATTCAGGAACTAAAAAGGTGGAACTACACCTTCCAGAAGGCCCAGCCAATATGAGCCATGATGAGAGAGGCCAAAAGTTGCCATTCAATCATTGAAGGACCATTGTAACTCACAGTAACTCCAGCCTGAACAGAAGATCAGGATTTCAAAAAAAGAACACTGTATCTTAAGAGGAGAGGATGGATCGCCTCTCAAAAGTCTTAGAAAAAAAATCAAACTTTTTTTGTGGAAAATTAAACAGACAACCTAAACTGAAATCCACTCTCTCCCATCCACATGATGGAAGAAATACCTCACTTCACAGGGGACATTTTGGAATATTAGAATAGTAGAGTTGTAAGTTGTAGGGATTGAAAGCCTACGATTCTTTGCAGACTCACTTTCACACCAGAGATGCCTTGAAGACCCACTGCTCCTGCTGGGCCGGGCTCTCCCTAAAAGAGGCGGTGAAGAACAAAAGAAAAGAAAAAGAATGTAGCCTTTTGCTGCAAAAACCCTGTGGCAGGAGGAATAAATACGGAATCAAAGAACAACGTGCATGCTACGAAAGTAAGTCCAAGTTACTTATGTGATTTGTTCAGCTCCCCAAAAGTGGCCTTTGCTGGCTTGCTTGTATCATTTCATAGGGCAATGCTTCCCCCTTCTGGCAGCAACTGAAGCAAGCATCATAGCTTTTCTTTGGAGGGGGAATTTGAAATAGCCAGCAAAATGCCAGATGGAGCTTGGGACTGTCTCCCCAGACAGGGAATTGTTCCAACTCCAAGAATTTATTTCTTGAATTTCTTTATTTCTATATTTATAGACAAGAAAGGTGACTTGAAAGATGTCTTTGGAAAATAAACGTTTAGCTGGCTCGGGCTAAATGACTTGGATAATTCTTAAGGAGACATCACCAGTTGAACGTAGAATCCATTGTAACGGGCAGCTATATTAAAAACCCTTCTACCGGCTTACCCCCGCTGCCCCCTCCTCCTCTTCCTCCTCCTCTCTCCTGAAAGACTCAATAAGTGGGTAAAAACGTCAAATCTGGAAAGCAGGTTTAGTGGGGTGAGGAGGGAATGGGGATTTTGCAGTATATCCTTCCCCTGCCACGCCCACCAAGCCACGCCCTCAGAACCAGTTGTAAAAAAATTTGATTCCCACCACTGGTGTAACCGATTGAACAACTGCATTGATTCACCTAACAACCATGGCAAGAAAGACTGTAAAATGAGGAAAATTCATTTAACAAGTGTCTTGCTTAGCAACAGAAATTTTGGGCTCAATTGAGGCCGTATGTCGAGGACTACCTGTATTAAGAATGTTTTAAAATGCCTGAATGAAAGTAATGGCAGATCACTTATCCTTACAACGAAAGAGACTTTCTGCCTTAGATCCTCTCTTAGCCAGCCAGTCTGAACTTCTCTTTTTTTTTTTCTCCTTTTTTTCGACTTTACTATTCCCATATTATTTGCAATATGGAAAAAAAAATTGCAGAATGCCTTGGCCTTGCAGATCCATTTAAGTAGCAGCAAGCTTCAATTTTCCTGGGGAAATATGATTTTGACCACTTCAAGGGGTTCAGAACCACAAAGCTTTATGGCAGATGTGGGCGATGCCCTCTGAAAAGGCAGGGTGGTCCCCAAAGGCCCCCTTCTCCTTCGTCAGGGGCCTCTGAGCTACCACTGCACCAGCAGACACCATCTTCGCTTTCGTGAACATGAGCTGCAACCTGGAAACGGTGAGATGGAGGGACAATGCATTGTTTTGGGCATCATCTTGCTTTTAAAAAAAAGATGAATAATGCCCCCACAAAATGGGGGGGAGGGGCAGATATAGGAAACAAGAAAGGTAATGAAAAGTACATTTTTTTCAATGCTCTCCACACTGAGGTTGATAGAAGAGAGAAAGAGATGGAAATCCTCTTGTACTTACAATTTTTCCAGGTGGCCCAGGTAAACCTGATGGACCACGTGTCCCTGGTTCTCCCTAGGAAGACATTAAGAAGAGAATATGCCTATAAGCCAATCCCAATTCATCAGAAGTGCATGGAGGAGGTAAAATAAGCTAATAATTCAAGTAACAAGAACAGGAAGAGGCTCAAGTCCATACCTTTTCTCCGGGACCACCTTTGCTCCCAGGAGTGCCTGGCAAACCCTTTGGGAGACAAGAATACATCAGAATTAGAACAGAGCTGGAAGGGACCTTGGAGGTCTTCTAGTCCAGCCCCCTGCTCAAGCAGGAGAATCTATACCATCTCACACAAATGACTGTTCAGTCTCTTCTTAAAAACCTCCAGTGACGGAGCACCCACGATTTCTGGAGGGAAGCCGTTCCACTGGTTAATTTTCCTCCATTAGGAAATTTCTCCTCAATTCCAGGTTGCTTCTTTCCTTGATTAGTTTCCATCCATCATTTCTTGTCCCGCCCTCTGGTGCTTTTGAAAATAAATTGACCCCCAGCCTCTCAAATATTGGAATACTGCTAGCATGTTCCCCACTTAATTATGTCCTTCCATAATTTGGAAAAAAAATCCAAATTATTTGCCCTACATCCAGTCTTCCTATAGGATGATTCCTTCAATGATCTGGTTGTAGAGAAGCCTATTGTAAGCTCCAGAATATTTCTCTCTAAGAGTAGGGCATTGTTGCAAAATAGTCTTAGATGGCAAGCTCAGCTAAGGAATACTTTAGTGCCCTGGGATGTCCCTGTAACTTGACTCTTGGTAACTACTTTGACAAGTCTGGCAAGATTTTTGAAGTGGTTTGCCACGGTTTCCTTCTTAGGACTGAGAGAAGCTGACTGGCCAAGGTAGATGGTCTCCTGGTTTCTAGTCCAGGGTCATCATCACTACACCAAACCGACTGTTGTCTTCAAGTCAATCTTGACTTCTGGTGTCCACATCAGGGGTGTTCCAACCTTGGCAACTTTAAGACTTGTGGACTTTAACTCCCAAAATTCCCCCTGGCTACCTGGGAAATTCTGGAAGTTGAAGTCCGTGGCAAAGGTAGGGCCACCCTAGATCCACATGAACAAATTCCTATAGTTTTCTTGGCACCATTTTCAGAAAGTCTTTTTCTCTTCGAGGGATGAGGGAAAGGAACTGGACGAAGGTCATCTGTGTGGTTTCCATGTCTAAGACAGAAGGGTTTTTTTTTTAATTCCAGTTCTTTTAATTACTCCACTAACTGTCCTATTGCAACGCCCTGGCATCGTTTTAGAAACTCTGGCAGCCTGGGAAAATAAGTGATGTTTTGAAATTCAGCAACAATTACAGACGCAATTATTTCTCTGAACACAAGTGGCCCTTCTTGTTCCACTGGAAAGAACCCACTTCTGTAGCAATTCCCAACAATTCCCCATTCATCTGTCCTTTTCACTTTTGGGAAAAGGTTCCCTGAACCTTTTCATAATACATAATTTTCCCATTACATTTCCAATTTACAGTGATTACAATTTGGGCAGGTACCAGTCTGTGTTTAACAAAAACCTGGTGATTTTCTTTCAGAGGAGGCTTCAAGGGGTTTTTTTTTTGGAGGTGGCGGGGTTGGGCTGGGTTTTGTGTGTGTGTGTGTGTGTGTGTGTGTGTGTGTGGTTTGGAGGAAAATCAAACAGCAGGTGTTTGATTTTAAACACTGGCAAAATGCAGGTCTAGTTTTGGGTGATGATGGAACGGAATTTGTTCCATTTTGGAACAATACTTACAGCCACTCCTCTGTGTCCCAGGGGCCCAGGAAGGCCTGGTTGACCCACACTTCCCTAGATGGCAAAAAAAGATAAGGAAATGGGGAAAGATGAAAAGAGAACAGCAAGTACAAGTATGGTTCTCTACTTACATCCATTCATTTAATGACCCTTCAAAGTTGTAACGGCGCTGAAAAGTGACCATTTTTCACACTTACGGCCGTTGCAGCATCCCCATGGCCACATGAACAAAATTCAGACACTTAGCAACTGGCTCATATTTATGACATTTGCAGTGTCCTGCGATCACGTGATCCCCTTGTGCGACCTTCTGACAACGGGAAGCCACTTAACGACCATGTGACTAGCTTAACTCCAGTGATTCACTCAACCACTGTGGCAAGAAAGCTCGTAAAATGGGACAAGACTCAGTTAACAATTGTCTTGCTTAGCACTGTTGTTTAGCAAATTTTTGCTCAATTTGGGGGGTAAGTCGAGGATTCACTGTATCAGCTACCGGACAGATTTCCTTTCTTTGAAACAGAAAGAACTTACTGGAACTAAATTTGAAACGGAATATCCCAGCCTGTAGATCTGACTACCTGCCTAAAGCAGAACGCAGATAGTCCTCAACGTACAACCATTTGTTTAGTGACTGTTCAAAGATACGATGGCACTGAGAAAAATGACTTACAAATTGGTCCTAGCACTTACAACCGTTGCAGCGTCCACACGGTCACATGATCAACATTTGGGCCTATGAAAACCGACATGTATTTACATCCACTGCGGAGTCCCAGGGTGATGGGATCCCCGTTTGTAACCTTCCCAGGGGACTTTTAACAAGCAAAGTCAACGGGTGAAGGCAGATCCATTTAATGGCTGCATTGGAAAAGGTTGTAAAATTGGAAGCAGTCAAGTAGCAGTCACGCGCTTAAGGACCGCATTGCTTAGTGACAGAACTCTAGTCCCCATTGTGGTTGTAAGTTGAGGAATACCTGTCAAGTGGATTGATTCCTTCTATGATTTTAACATTAGACAGAGTTGATGCAGGCTAACAATTGCATTCCCCTTCTTTGCTTTCACATCTTGTGTGATATCTCCTTTGGATAACTCCTCAGATTCTTTTTCGGAGGTCGGCTTCAGAGAAGACAAGCTCATTCCCTGTACGTTAGGAACTGAGTTAATCAATTACTCTGAACAGCCAACCGAAAAAGAGATTTATAGGGGGCTTCAGCTAGTGACAGCTTACAGGAGCAGACGGTCAGTGAAGAAGAGCAGAAGAAGGAGCTGCCTTCTGTGGGGGATCCAAGAGCACGCAGGGCAGAGAAAAGACAAGAGCAATGGAGATCTGCCAGATTATTCAGGAGAAGGCCACATCCCTCTCGATGGGCTGCACCGAAAAGTTATTTATCACAGCAGACAGAGGGAGGCATTGCTGGGAAGTGTTTGCTTTATGGTGTATGTGTTTGTTTCTGGTGTTTTCTGCTTGACTTTTTGCCTTGAAGACTCTGAACTCCTTTTACCAAGTGAGCTCTTACAGTTTGGCCTGGTGGATTTAAGATTGTTTGATGGACTTATTTATTGCAGCAACTTTCCATTATTTTATGGACTATTGGCCACTGCCTGGTGGACTAACCTTGTCTTCCTTGTGGCTAGATCTATTTGGGGCAGTTCTGAGGCTGGGTGAAGGAAACTGCCGGGGAACATCAATGGAACCACACTTACATGTATGTGTGGGACAGCACATCTTGCTGGCTCAGATCCAGTTTTGTTATCAACCACCATTCCAAGTTTTTTCCCCCACCACTCACACAAAGGACTTTTGTTTCCTAAGTGCAAAACTTCATTCTGTTTTTTACAGTCCATTTCATTCATCTATCAACACTGTTTTGAATCAAATTCCATTTCTAGCAACTAAGGTATAATCTAATTCATCGAACACATCTCTCCTGCAGCTCAATAAACAATCCACCCACTTCATCAACCAAGGTGTTAATAGAAATGTTGAACAAGTGAAAAGAAAGGCTAAATTGCACCCTGAGGCAAATGTTGGCCCAAAATTATGTTTTTTACACCCCCTATTCCTCTCTTGCCATCTACAGTATTCTAACAATTACATTAAAATGTTAATTTTAATAGATTTATGGTTATATTAGTTCCATTAAATTGGTAGTTACATTGCCTTATGAGTTTTAAGACATCTGAAACATGTTACAGTCATGGCAATCTCTGGCTATTCCTGGTTGATTTCAAAAAGCTTACCAGGATCAACCAGTGTCGCACATCTGAAGGATTACAGAGGTATAGACTACCTAGGAAGTCGAAGAGCATCTTAGGAGAATGATGTGGCAACCTACTTCAGGATCATTTCTGAAAAAACCATCATAGGTGATTATCTCCCTGAAGTCATCTAGAATCAAACTGGATCAGCGAATGACTTATTCATCTCCAGGGACATAAAGTCAGGGAACATCTGGGTTTCCCAGGTCAGGGACCGGTTCCCTGATCAGGGGAACACAAGAAAATCTGTTCCAGCCCCAGTTCTGGTGGCCCTAAAAAAATGACTTCCCCCATTTCATCTCTGGATATTATTTCCCCTAGGTAAAAGTGGGCTAATGGAAGGGGTGGTCAAAAGAGACAAGGCAGCACCCATACCGATACGGTTATGGTGGTTCTCCATCCAGATGTGCTGCTATTGACCCCACTCAGCTTTTTCAGATCAACCATGAATAGCCAGATGTTGCACTTCTTGAAAGCATCTTCTTACCTTCAACCCTGGAGTCCCAGGAAATCCAGGTTTGCCATCAATCCCAGGAAGCCCCTAGAAGGAAAACAAAAAGTTATTTATGACCTCTAATGGACAATTAAGCCAGTTTCCCTATGTGATTATTCCCAAATCTGGCTGGGCTGGAAAGAACTTGTACTCACCCGTGTTCCTTTGGGGCCCATTTCACCCTGAGCACCACTGAAACCGCGAGGACCCTCAAAAAGAAGAAAGCAAAGGCTCTGTTAATATACCAACATAGCACCATGAATAACAGAGGTCTTCTACTATACTCAAGCAGGACACCCTATATATCAGTGGTGGCTAACCTTTTTGGGGTCCTGTGCCAAAAATTGTGTGCACGCTTGCACGCTCGCACTCACATGCCAGCACCCAGAAGGCAATGTGCACCCCACGTCCCGTACACATACACAGGTAATCCCCACCCACCCCCGCCATCCCCTTATCTGCACTGCGCCTCACAGCTGATTTTTGGCCAGTTTGAGGCCTTTTTCGGCTTCCCAAAGGCTTGCGGAAGGCTTCTGCAGGCTTCTGCAGGCTTTGCAGGATGAAAACTAGCCCCGTTTCATCATTTCTGGCATTTTTGGAAAAACAGGAAGTGACCAAAATGAAGTGAGGCTAGTTTTCAGCCTGCAAAACCTGCAGAAGCCTGTAGAAGCCTTCCTCAAGTCTTTGGGAGGCTGAAAAAGGCCTCAAACCGGCCGAAAATCAGCTGTGGGATGTGTGCATGCCCAGTGAAGTAAGTTTGCCTGCAGCTCACGTGTTGGCACAAATGGTTCTGCGTGCCACCAGTGCCATAGGTTCACCATCATGGCTATATACCATTGATAAGTACTAACAAGTACATGAGAAGTACTAAGTCCAGGAAATCATCTGAACACTAACCTCCCAAGTTCAGAGCTTTAAGAAAACCAAGGGTTGCTTCATGAATCAAGGCCTCAGAACATACAAGCAACACTAGACTGGGCTAATTCTTGGATGGGAGACCACTCAAATATCCCAGGATTGTAGATCCAGATTGGGAAGTCAAAGAAGCTTCAGCTCTGAAACTCTAACTCTATTTTTCAGCTTTATTTACATCAATATGTAATTCCAAAAATAAATGGGGAAGAGTTATTTCTTATGGAAGACTATTCAAGACAGACTCTTCCCTGCAAGAAATACTCTTCTCCATTTATTTTTGGAGTTATTTATTAAAGTAAATAAAGCTGATGCATTCAGTGGATTAACATGTGTGGGTATTTGATGCACCAATTCTATATCTTCCTTCTTTCAAGGAACTTGCATTGAGTTTTGGTCACCTCACTATAAAAAAGATGTTGAGGCTCTAGAAAAAGTACGGAGAAGAGCAACCAGGATGATGAGGAGACTGGAGTCTAAAACATATGAAGAATGGTTGCAGGAACTGGGCATGGCTAGTCTAAGCGAAGAGAAGGACCAGAGGAGACATGATGGAAATGTTCTGATATCTGAGGGTCTGCCACAGAGAGGAAGGGAGTCAAGCTATTTTTCACGGCACCTGAAGGCCAGACAAGGAATAATGGATGGAAACTGAACAAGGAGAAATTTAACCTGGAAATAAGGAGAAACCTTCTGACAGTGAGAACAATCAACTAATGGAAAAGCTTGCCCTTGGAAGTTGTGGGAGCACCATCAGTTGAGACCTTCAAGAAGAGATTGGACTGCCATTTGTCAGGGTCTCCTTCTTAGGCAGGGGATTGGATTAGATGACCTACAAGGTCCCGTCCAACTCTGATGATCTTTATCTGAATATTCAAGAAATACTCTCCTGCGAGTTCCTTGAAAAGAAAAGGAAGTAGAATTGGTGCATTTAATATATATATTAATACATATTAATCCACAGTGGTTGGAGTTATTCAGTTCTCCCCAAGAATGGAGAAGGCACAAATGCATTAAATACATTAAAGAAATATATGCATTAAATATATATAAATATATCCTTGACAGGCAATGTATGACGGAACAGTTATCACACGAGTAACCTAACTTTATGACCTTTTTTGCAGTTGGTGGTTAAACAAATGTGGTAGTCATAAAGCAGCCACAGTGGTTTGTTAAGTGAACACAGCAGTCATTAAGCGAACCAATGGTTTGCTGTAGGCAGAGTTTTGCCAAAAATGGAAAAGTGCAGCTTTTTTTCTTAAAACAGTCCTAAAATGCAGCCCCAAGACTGTGAGTCATTGTAAACCGTCCTACAGCAGCCCATGTTGCTGAGTGCCCAAAGTTCATTCATGTGAACGTGGAGCATCAGAACTTCAGAACCGGGTCATAAGCTCCTTTTGGGGTCAACTCAAGAACCCCCTGTTGTAAGGTACCGCTGGTGCTTTCTGTAAGGCGTTCCACTTTTCAAAGATTTAATGCAATGCTTCCAGGGGAAAAAATACTCACAATTTCTCCCTTCTCTCCAACTTGTCCTGGGGGGCCCCTGGGGCCATCTTCACCCTAAATCATGATTACAGAGAAAACAATGAATAGAACTGTCTATGTAACAGGGTTAACCTGAGCAAATCCATCTTGGCTGTATCCACTCAATTATGCCTATTAATGGGCAAATTGCAAACCAGTGACTATCTTTACTTAACACACCAGTCTGGGCTAATGTTAAGCACAGGTGGGTTCTTTGGGGCTTCGTGTGATGCAGGAACTGGGGTTCCTGGGGCCTGCATAGAATAATCCCAGCACATCTGAAAAAGCTGCCAGGTGAGGAAAAATGCAAGCCATCTGGAGCCTCATTACTCTTAAATTCTGAAAGTGAGAGAAAATGTATGGCTAAGGCCTGGGTAGCACTGGAGACAGAGCCAGTTAATTTCGGGTGCTGTAACATTGAGAGCTGCAGATCAAGAAATCCATTGCTCCAATCTTACCTTAATCTTAAAATTGCTTAAGCATCCAATATTCTCTAAGAGTCACATTTACAGGGTGTAATGAATGTTGATCATCAGGTTTTATTGTGGGTATAGAAGGGTGTTTTAGGGTGGAAATTCTCAGGATCAGAATCGCCTCCAAATTCAAAATGCCACCATGAAAGGATTAGGGGTTGATTGATTGATTGATTGATTCCTTCCTCTCCACTTACTTCCTTCCCTCCCTCCCCTTTCTTCCATTCATATTCCTCCCTCCCTCCTTCCTTCCTCCCTCTCCTTCCTTCCCTTTTCCACTCTTCCCTTCCCTTTCCACTTCCAAGGATCACAGGTTTGAACCAATCACCAAAATTGTTTTTAGCATCCCTTGTGAATCCAGTTCTTCCTGGCAGCCAACCTCCTTACAGCAAGCCAGGCAGAATGCAGGGAAATGAACATAAACCACATTTCTTTCAAGGGAAATGTCACATCTTGCTATTTTTTTTCCTCCTTATCTAAATAATTTCACCCAGGAAAACCAGAGAGGCAGTTCTCTTCCCTGAACATGACTAGCACCATGAGGCTGGGTAATTAATGAGAAATTAGACTTGATCATAAAAGAGAAAGAAATTACCGGGGGACCAACAGCTCCAATACTCCCAGTCATGCCTTTGTAACCTTGAGGACCCTAAAAAAAGAAAACAAACAAAAAGTAAAAGGGAAATCTCACCCTCTTGAATCTCAGTGTCAAACCAGGAGGATGGGCAACTCCTCTGCACCTCATCCATCCAGAAGGGATCTTCTCTAAAAGCTGGTCAGAATTTGATCTAAATCTGCTTTTTTGTCAGGCTCAAGAAACCAAGACTAAGCTCAATGTGTGGTTCGGTATAGCTTCTTTCTTGCTGTTCCTCAAGAGGTAAGAATCTTGCAGACTTTAAGGAGGATCTTTAGCTCTTTGGCCCCTCCCTCTTGCAATCCGTTGCCAGATTCCAACACAGTTATGCTGTTAAAACACAACGGTTGCAATTCGTGTAATTTGTCTTCTTCCCCATCACCTCTAAGCAGGACAGGAAACAAACTAAGCAAGGAGAGAAGAACCTAGAACTAAGGAGAAAATTCCTAACTACGAGGACAATTAACCAGTGGAACAACTTGCCTCCAGAAGTTGTAAAACGCTCCATCACTTTGAGGCTTTCAAGAAGAGACTGGACAGCCATTTATCAGAAATAGTATAGCTTTTCTGTGACAGCAGGGGGTTGGACTAGATGACTTCTAAGGTCCTTCCAATTCTGTTACTGTTCCCTTACCACCAGAGGGGAGGTGAGCCTCTATTCTTTTGACCTTCAGAAAGAGTGCCAAGCCATGGCTCTGCCAACTGGCACAGGGGTTGAAGAGTGTTAAGGCAACCCTGGGAATGTTGATGTTGTAAGTATGTTCTCTCCACTGTTTTAAATTTTAATACCATAACCCTACCTTTTAATTCTATTTCTGACTTGGTTAATTGCTTCCCAGAGTCACTTAGGTGAGATGGGCAGTATAGAAATTGATGGATGAATGAACTGGATCTTACCATGCCCTTATTTAAACACATAAGGCTCAGAGTCTTCTACTCCATATCTACTCCGGTGAACTCAGTGGACCTGAGAGCAAGTGATGGGCACAAAATCATTGAGGAAGCTTCTAAAAAAAACCAAGCTCAGATAATTTGAAGAAGAGAGAGACTGCAATTCTTACTCTCCAGATCAATCCTGTCTCTTGGGAAACAAAAGTGAAAATTGATTTGGATTCAGAAGATTTAATATGTGAGGAATTGTACAGAAGGAAAACAAGTAGACCTGGGGAGGGAGCATGATTGAGGTGTAGGGCTTCAATTCTCGTTAACTCCAGATGGTTGACTGGGAATGATGGAATATAATGCCCAACATTTGTTGAGAGCCCTATGCTAAATTTTGATGCTACTAGTAGACTATGCTTCCTTTACTGAGATTCGGGGAACTAGACTGACCACCTGCATAGAACAGGACTTGGGGAGGGTAAGGTGAGATCGTTTATGCTCTCTGAGCTTGGTTGTTTTGTTTCAGAAGTTTCCATTACCCAACTAGGTCACATCGTAAGTGCTTCATCTGTCAGTCCTTCACTGGCAGCTCAAGCTACTATTACAACAGTATATAGTCTATAGTATAAACAGGAAACAAATGCCAGACTCGTTAGTACTGATGATGTTACCTCCATAGGTAATGAAATGGATGTAAGAAAATAACTCAGCTCAGAAAGCACCAAGGACAACTCAGTTCAATCCTGAGCTAGAAATATTCTCTTCTAATAAGAATATAATAATAAGAATATAATAAGAATATAAGTGCTAGAGCCCACTGTAACTACATAGCCAAAAAGGCATTAAGAGTTGTTAACCTAAACTTATGTCGCTTTTTCTTTGGTAATATTACACTAATAACTAGAGCATACAAAACATTTGCTAGACCAATACTCAAATACAGCTCATCAGTCTGAAACCCACATTACGTATCTGATATTAACACAGTTGAGAAAGTCCAGAAATATTTCACAAGAAGAGTTCTCCACTCATTGCAGAATACCTTATGTCACCAGACTCGAAATTCTAGACCTAGAAAATCTAGAACTACACCGCCTTCGGTCCGATTTAAGTATAGTATATAAAATCATACATTGCAATGTCCTACCTGTCAATGAATACTTCAGCTTCAACTATAACAACACAAGAGCAAACAATAGATACCAACTCAATGTTAATTGCACCAACCTTGATTGCAGGAAATATGACTTTAGCAACAAAGTGGTCAGTGTCTGGAATACTCTACCTGACTCTGTGGTTTCTTCCCCAAACCCCAAAACTTTAACCTTAGACTGTCTACTATTGACCTCACCCCTTTCCTAAGAGGTCTGTAGGGGGTGTGCATAAGTGTACCAACATGCCTACCGTCCCTGTCCTATTGTTTCTTTTATTTATTTTTATTTTTCTTATATGTATCCATGTATTCATAACTATGTTTTTACTTATACCTGTTATCTTGTAAGCAATTGACAAAAATAAATAAATAAAAATAAATAATGAAATCGGAAGGAACTTGGGGTCAGGTGACCTGAAAGATTATTTCCTTCATTATAGGCCTGCTGTACCACTAAGACCAAAGAAAACTTTAAGGATGGCACCAATCTTACAAGACATTTACATGGAAGTTACTACTAGATATCTATTTTAGTTACTTCCTCTGGGCTCTGACATATGCTAACCCTTCTTGCCCCCGTTATATTTTCAATGTCTCTTCAAGATATCCCTCTTAACTCACACTGCTCCTAGATCTGACATGTTTCATTCTTTTTAATCCATTTTCATTCATATTTATTACATGAATGGTTTTCTCAATGTCCTGGTTGATAATCAATAGGTGGCCTTTGCGGGTCTCAGAAATTAAAGCAGGACTGGACCCAGCTATATTTGAACAAGAAATGAGTAGGAGCCAATGGGATGTTAGCTAGACCAGGAAGTTTAAAAAACTATTGCTGAGGAACCTGCAAGGAACCGTTCCTGTAGCCACCAGCTGAACGTGACTCAAGGGAATCTTTACCTTTTTCTCTATGTGGCTTTACTGAAATTGATTTATTACATCTGATGTTTTAGCTTGTTTTGTTCTGCATGTTGCTTAGGGGTTATTGGAAGCGAAGAAGCCTAGAGATGCTTTGAAGTCAAGCAATGAATAACAGATGAATAAACAATCACTAGTATTGCATTGAATTGCAATCTCTAATACCCCTTCTCATCCCGGGCAAGGGTCTCAAAGAGGGACCCTTAAATACAGTAGGGGTCTTCTTGAATATTAGTGCTCCCTATCCAAGAAACAGAATCTAGATGTGAGAGACTGTGTGCCTGAAAAGCAGTCCACTCAAACTTTTGTATGTTAGAATGTCTTGTGGTTGGCCTGCACTTTAATTAGCTTTAATTAATTGACTTGGAAGAGGAGCTGCTTAAAAGGTAGCACCTCTTCTTATTTCCTCTTGTAAGCTGTGAGATGACAAACTTCCAACTCTAACCCCAATCAGATAATTATTTCCCTTTTTGGTCATAGCAGGCACCCGGTGTCTCCTAGATACGTAATCATCATTCATCTGTAACCTTCCCTTTCTGATTCTTAAACTGAGGAGCTCTGGGGGTGGAGGAGGAAAGAGTGATGGACATGGCTATAAAACATGCTCAATAAAAGCAATCCCTTTGTGAGTCGAATTCCAGATGGAGGAGGGATCCCTGGTGCTGTAACTAATTCATGAGGACAATTTAATTGTTTCAGTCCTAGCATCTTTTTAAATATCCTCATAGTATCATACTGCTGGAAGGGACATTGGGGGGCCTTCTAATTCAACTTCTGGAACAAGACAGGAGTCCTTATACCATCCCGGACAATCTCTCTTTGAAAACCTCCAGCAATGGACCATCCACAGCTCTGGAAGGCAGGCTGTTCCACTGATTGATTGTTCTTACTTTCAAGAAGTTTCTCCTCAGATGTTGGATCTCCCTCTGACGAGCTTCTACCGACTGCTTCTGTAAAACCGCTTAGAGAGGGCTGTAAAGCAGTATATACGTCGAAATACTATCACTATTAATCAGGGGTAGGGTTCAAATTTTTTAACAACCGGTTCTGCGGGCATGGCTTAGTTGGTGGGCGTGGCTTGGTGGTCATGTGACTGGGTGAACATGGCTTGGTGGTCATATTATTGGCTGGATGTGGCCAGTTCAATATCACTCACATCAAGGGATGCATCTCCTCGCCTGGCCTCTCATGACTGTGGAGATGCTGCAACAATCGTAAGTGTGAAAAATGGTCATAAGTCACTTCTTTTCAGTGCCATTGTAACTTTGAATGGTTACTCCACACAAGCAAAGTACCAGCAAAGGAGGGGGGAAAAGTTCCTGAGACAGGAAGTCCAGTCCTGCCAAGAATGTAAAAAGGGTTAACGGAGAGGCAATTTCTGTAAGCAACACCAGAATGTTTCCTTCCTGCCTTCCTTACAGGATTAGGCCAGTAATTTCTTCTAACAACTGGTTCTCCGAACTGCTTAGAATGTTAACAACCGGTTCTAGCGAATAGGTGCGAACTGGTAGAATCCCACCCCTGCTATTAATATTCTTTCCTGCTGCTTCTTTCTCCACAACAACAACATACGAGGTAAGTTGAGCTGAGAGAGAACAAGAAGCCCAAAGTCACCCACATGACTTTCAGGCCTAAAGAACGACTAGAACTCGCATGGAACCAGTATGGGGTTATTGTAACATCAACTCCCAAATTCCCGGTGTTTAATTCACTTACCATCTCCCCTTTTGGTCCTGCCATTCCTGGATGCCCCCTGGGACCTTCTGGGCCCTGGGAAAGAAAGATAAACCAAAACTGGATTATGTAATCTGCAAACTGGGATGATCATAACACACAAACCATCATCATCCAGAAGAGGTCACTGAAGGCATATTTAAAAATGTGCAGTGTGCATAAAGAAGGAGAGGACTCCGATGGGTTGGTCTTGACTTCCACCAATCTTTTCCCCATGAATGGACCCTCCTGCTTTGACCCTGTTTGTCCTGTTGTGAGATGGAATATCAAAAAATATCAACAGGCTGGATGGGGAGTTGAAATCTACACATTAAAGTTACCGATCTTGAGAAATACTGATATATGGTGGGATAAAAATTATATTATTTGGATTTATGAGCTCTCGGTATTTAGTTATGTACAGAACTGATGCCCTCAATTGTAAGTAATGACCATGATCAGATATGGAAGCTTAGAAATTGTCAGAAAGTTGAATAATTATGCTTGCTTGTCAGGCTCCGAAAATAAAATAATACATTTCCAGCTTTTTCCATTTCTTGTTTTTCCTTATCAACCTTGGAGGGAGACTGAAAAAAGGAATAAGGCCACAGGAGGTTCTACAGCACAAGAGTAATAAAATCTCTGGAGCAAAGGGAATGAGATTAAGAAGTAGAAATAATTAAATACATTACAGGAGAACCCTGACTGCCTTGTTCTCCAGACAGGCCCACATCACCTCTTGGACCCTAGGAAGTAAAAAAAAAAAAACAAGTATCAAAGCTATAGAAAGAACAAACATCTAGACATGGGCTTTAAATCAAGAGACTTAGAAATCAGCCTGACTGGTTGTTTAAACTGTTAACTACAATCACAATTTAGGTTTCCCTGTTGGAAAATCTTCCTGGTGCCCTACACATTTTCAGAATTATACCACTTCCAAATGATCAGTCAAATGGACCCAGTGGTCTTGTTGGCAATGAATTTGGGGGTGCCAATTGCTCTGTACCCAGAGGGCAACAGTTTTAGGAAAGCTAACATACACTGTACCCCCAAAGTTTAACAGGCAGACAGAACTGGCTATGTTAGTGCTTCTCAACCTTGACCAGTTTAAGATATGTGGACTTCAATTCCCAGAATTGCTGGCTGGGGAATTCTGGGAATTGAAGTCCACACATCTTTAGTCAAGACTGAGAAACACCGAGCTACATGACTGAGAGTTCTTTGGCTGGTAAACCTGGTTGGCTTGGATGAGCCTTTCTTATATGCTCATCCACCAGCTTGGTTGGCAATGAAGTTTGGGATGGAATTTGATAGCTACGGTCTCCCAAGAGCTGTGAGAAAACAGTACAGGATCAGAACAGAGCCCTTTAATCTACCATAGCTAATGTTCAATCAGTTAAAGAGAAAAATGAAGAGAGGGTGAAGCATCTCCATTCTCACCAGCCGGCCTTGTCTTCCAGCCTCTCCAGGGGCTCCTGGACGGCCTCTGTGTCCCTAAAAAGAAAGCGAATCAAACTTTCAAAACAAATGTCAGACAACGGTTTGTAATGGGAAGAAAGAATAACCTCGAGGAACAGAAGGAAGAGACACAACCAAGACAACAGTCAGATAAAAGAAATCTGAGTGTGGGCCAGAATTATGACCTGAGAAAATGACTCAAACAAGACCCTCCATAGTTCTTAGGAAAATAAAAGGAGAAAGGAAGCACACTGAGACTGGTTCCTTGGGGTCAGAAATCATAAAAAGTGCATGAAAAGCTCAAGCTGTGCTGGGTGCTGGTTCCCTTCTGAGGTGTTAGTTGTACAGGAGTTGAATATGCCTAGTCTAGTGAGAAGAAGGACCAGGGGAGACATGATAGCAGCGTTCCAGTATTTGAGGGGCTGCCACAAAGAAGAGGGAGCCAAGCTGTTCTCCAAAGCCCCTCAGGGCAGGACAAGAAGCAATGGATGGATAATCAAGGAGAGAAGCAACCTAGAACTAAGGAGGAATTAATTCCTGACAGTCAGGAATTAATTAATCCGTGGAACAGCTTGCTTCCAAAAGTTAGGGGTGCTCCAAAACTGGAATTTTTTTAAAGAAGGGATCGGAGAACCATTTGTCTGAAGTGGTGTAGGGTTTCCTGCCCGACTAGAAGACCTCCAATGTCCCTTCCAACTCTGTTACTCTGTTTAAATAAAGCCCTACATGTCCTGGGGTCAGGTTGCCTATGGATCGGTCTTTGCTCCATTATTATCAAGCCCTTCCACTGGATCTGGCAGGGAGAGTAGGCTGCAGATCTCGTCAATGAAAGCATCAGGCAGGGTCCAGAAGGAGAGCTTTCTCTGCAGTTGCCTTGCCCTCTGGAACTTCCTCCCACTGGGAGCGAGGAAGCCCCCCCCCCCACCCCCGCTCTCCTGGCCATTTGGAAAAGCCTGAAGACCTACCTCTGTCAATTCACTTGGGGATCAGCTGTGGAGCTGCTTGCAGGCCTCCCCCCACTTTTAAAAATTATTTCATACAGGTAGTCCTTGACTTGCAACAGTTCATATAGTGACCATTCTAAGTTACAACGGCACTGAAAAAAGGGACTTATGATCAGTTTTCACAGGTATGACCATGGTAGCATCCCTATGATGCCACGTGATTGACATTTATGACAGCTGCTGTGTCCCAAGGTCACATCATCCCCTTCTGCAAATGTCCAACAATGGGGAAACCAAACGCCACTTAGCAGTCATGTCACTGATGGAACAATTGCAGTGATTCACTTAGGAAATATTATAAAATGGGGCAAAACTCACTCACAACAAATTTTTCACTTAACAACATAAATTTGGGGCTCAATTTGGTCATAAGTTGGGGATTAACTTTACTTGTTTTAACGGCCATCTAGTATAATGTTTATATATAGCTTTTATTTTTATGCCTACTGCACACTGCCCAGAGGTGCTCTTTGAGGGAGACTGGCAGTTTCTAAATGTGATATAGAAACAGATAAAGAAATAAAAAATATATAAACAAATAAAAATACAAAAGTAAAGCTAGACAGAGCCCCTTTAATCAGAATGGAAACTGACCTTTAGCTAGTAATAGCAAAAGAGGATAGAAAGAGTTATAGGAAAATGAGAAAGTTCTGTCACTCAGTTTTTATCTTCTGCACACAATAGAATACTAATAAAATTAACCCTGACTTTTTGGATTAAAGAGAAGATATTATCTATATTTACTGGTGACTGGAAGCCTCTTATGGATATTTTGCGTAAAAGTGGAAAATGATTTATGATTTCGATAATGAGACAAGAGAAAGAAGAGAGTCACAATGTAACTTTAGAGAGAGAGGTTAAAATATATTTCTTCTTATAACTGCTACTAGCTCAATACCCGTGCTTTGCTACAAAACTATGTGGTCGGGCTTAGTTTTTGGGGAGGAAAATAAGGGGGAAATATTCTGCCTCTGCCTACCAGCATCCACTGGTATTCATTTGGCTAGCGTCTGTGAGAGAGTTGAGGGCTGTTTGGAAAGTGAAACAGTATTTGCTGTGTGAGCAAGGAGACAGCAAGGAGCCTGGGCGTGGCTTAGCTCAACTTTTCGTACTAAAGCTGCTTGGTGCTGTGAAACTGAAATTGAAACTCCTCTCCTCTGCTTGTGCTTTGCCTTTGGAAGAGATTTCTTTTCAGGTGGGGAGGGGGAATACTAGAACTCCTTAGCATCAGAGCGTAACATACGAAATACTAATGCTCTGATGGTCATTTTGAAAAATCCTTTCTTAGTGAGCACCTAGAAGCCAACAGGAACATAGGTGCCAAAGTTCAAGTTTGTAGGCTTTTTGGTTCTGGAGATTTTGTGACGATGCATGAGGGGTCTTTCACTTTTATATATATAGACGGAAAATATCGCAAGCCACTTTTTAATGTTTTTTATCTCCCCCCCCCACTCATTTTTTCCTTTCCTTCTTTCCCTATCTATCTCAATTTTTTCTTATCTTGCATATTTTGCCTTTTCTTTAATTTCCTTTTTTTCCCCTTGTGTTATATTAGTTTGCATTAGTTTTTACCTTATTTAAAAGTTTCAATTAAAAAAAAAATCATCTCTTTGTCCGTCTATCTGTCTATCTAAACCAGTGGTGGTATTCTACCAGTTCAGCCTGATTCAGTCAAACCAGTATTTCTTTTTTTTTTCTCCTGACGATCAGCTGTTCCGATGATCAGCTGTTCCGGGATCCCCCTCACTGTCTTACTCCTTCGCCCAGGAGGCTTCATGGAGGCCCAGGAGGCAAAAAAAAAAAAATGGAGCAGGGGGGAGGGGTGCTGCAAAAAAAGCCACACCCATCCAGTCACATGGCCATGCCCACCAAGCCACGCCCACAGAACCGGCAGTAAAAATATTTACATCAAATAAAAATATTTGATCTAAACAATACGGTACTAATAAAATTAGCCAATGTCCCTTGCTTGTTTCCAACATGATATAGCCAGGCTTTTTCTGATAACTCTTAAACAGCAAGAAATATTAATCTATATTACTGGCAGTTTCAGTAATACAGATTAATATTTCTTTTGTTCAAGAGTCACAATTAGGGGTGGGAGCTAATGAAGATTAACCAATGTGACATCCATGGGTGCTTAAACTGGAGAAACCCTTCACGATACTAAAGTCTGTATGGCAATTATCGCTAACAAAGCAACATCCACAGATCACGGAGCAGAGAAATCCTTACCTTCAACCCCTGTAAACCTGGTGGTCCCTTCAGTCCAGGTGGGCAGTTGGTTGGACACTGCAGGCCATGAAGGGAAAAGGGGAGGGGGGAAGAGAAAATAATCTGAGATATCTTTCATCTAAGTAGCAATTTGGATAGCAATAAGAGTCACTTGGTTGAGTTAGGTGGCTATAGAAATAGGGAGGGAGGGATAAGAGAAATAGAAGGGATTGGGGGAAAGAAGGTGAGAGAAGGGAGGAGGAAAAGTGGCTGAGGAGGAATAGTGGAAGAAGGAAGGAAAGAGAGGGAGGGAGGGAGAGAGGGAGAGACAGAGGAAAAAAAGGAGAGAGGGAAAGGAAAGGAAAAGAAAAGCTGGTAATAAAAGCTAGCCAGCCCTCCAAAACATCAATGGCTTGGTTGCCTAAGATATTCAACTAAGATGAAATTGTGGGAATCTTATACAGATACCATTCTGGGTGATTAGGAAATTCACTGGCTTTATGTTACGGAGAAGGGAAAGAGTATTGGACCAGAAGAACCCAAAGGATACCCAAAAGTTGGGTTAGACTACAAGTCTAACTAACCTAGCCACCTATTTTGGAGAGCTAAGGAAGGCAACAGGAAATATATACTGTGAGATCCATATACCAAAGTGAGGAAGGATGACACATATTTAAGTCACAATAAACAGGAAATATACCAAAGAGGCTTAAACAGGCACCTCTCTAATTCACAGAAATATAATAAGGGGGAGGAGATACGGCACAATTAAACAGGAAAGACCGATTTTGACACCCCAGAGTAGACAAGGCCAGGAAATCAACTCTACATAAGGGTTGAAACTATTTGTATTGAGAATGGCTATATTAAAAAGAAACTTGCAACTCTGGTTGCACTCACTCCCTTTCCTGCAACACTTTAATTTTCCTTCTATTAAAATGTGAATGTGAATGGCTTTGTTTTGAAATGGGAATTAAATGCAGTCCTTCTTACCACGAAATCAGCACTGCCCTCGACTCCTTGGATACGACCAATTGGGCCCTTGAAAAATATAAGAAAGCATAAAGCCGTCAAAAATGCAAAACATTTTCTCACTTGCAAAAAAAAAAAAAAAAAGGAGGGGGAAGGTTACTTTTCATTTTTAACTGAAAGAAAAGTTTTTTATCCAGACTGAAGGCTTTTAGCACTTCCGATCAAAAGGCACCATTAAATTGATCCATCTTTTTCTCTTAATGTTTTTTTTTCTGATAAGGAAAACGATGCAGGGAGTGGCAATGGAAAATAGGAGAAATAGAAAAGAGGAATCCCACCCCTGAGGCACAGTCATTTAATGGTGAAAGCCTCCCCATTAAATGTAACTGAAGGATACGCACATCAATTGGTAACCCATTTGATAGGCTGGATCAGAAATAAGAATGAGATCTGTGATCAAAACGTAAATTCAGTTCTCGGATATATGATGGGTGTTGATATTTAATTGTTCACTAGATGTTACTCTCAAATCTATAAATGACTCACCCTCATACTACTAGGTAGAGCACCCAAATCAGTAGCAACAGAGCTGTGATGGAATGTAGTCTGGATTCCCAGGAGAGAGAGGCTGTATGCCAGAGAAGCAAGAAACAGCTCAATTCAGATAGCTTGTGTGAGAGAAAGAGGGTGAAGTTGGCTCCTCCCTAATAGTTCCCAAACTATATGCCTTTAGGGGGTGTTAGCATGCTTGAGTTTATCAAGATTCTGGCTATGGGTGAGGAACAATAAAATAAGAGCCATTTCACTGTGTCTTTCTTAGTTTTTGGAGCCTGGAGAGGACTTACTGGCTTTCCGGGTGGTCCTGGAGGTCCTTGTGGTCCATCTGGTCCACGTTCCCCCTAAAAAACACAAGAGGAATTAGAAAATCATTCCAGCAGGAAAGTCCAAAAGACAAGCTACTGCTCACAACTACTCCAGCAAGACTTCCATTGTGGGCATCCACAATCGTTAAGAATGGGCACCAGGAGTAATATCCACAATTCTTAGAATCATCGTTTTTCAACCTTGGCAAAGGAAAGTCGAAGTCCACCCATCTTCAGGTTGCCAAGGTTGAGACACGCTGCTTAGGATGGCTCTCCTATTGCCACCTGAGCTATGAAGCAGATAGCCAAGGAGGCAACCAGGAGAGCAGAGAATGAAGAGATTAAAAAAAAAACCAAGGGAAAATGGAAATATTAGGCCATTTAGAGTGGGAAAAGAATGATTTCTGAGACCAGTCTTCTATTCTACTTTACTTTTGCCTCCTTCTGCCCAAAGTAGAACAAAGTTTTGTTCAATGGTTTATTTTAAAATACAACAGAATAACTTGTGCAATATTTATTTTCAGAATACTGATATGAGGATGTAAATTATGCAGGACGCAGAACCAACCTATTCCGAACGCAAGATTTGCATTATCTAATTTAATTTAACTCATTTAGCATGCACAGTCCTGATCCTAGGAAAAGAAAGAGGGAGAGATTAGGTAGCTTTTATTTTTTAATTTCTAATTGGGTCTCTTTCCGAATCTTTCATTCGCTCTCTCCTTATTTGTTGAGTTAGTCTCAAAAGATGCAATTATCCTCAGCCATATGGTGGCAGTAACTATATATATAAGACCTAGCTATATGTAGGTTTACATATATATGTTGCCTCTAAAATACATTTTTGTATCAGCTTTTTTTTTATTTATAGTATTTTCTGGACAATTGCTACAAATATCCTGATACATATCTCAAGACGCAATGTATCTTGTCTACAGATAAAAAGCAAGTAAATCTACTTCCAGATCTGGAATGAAGTACATTAGCCATCATTACTGTTACCTCTGTTTAATATAATTGAGTACGGGCAACATCCACCATGGAATAAGACATTCAGGCTGACCCATGTCCATCTTGAGACCAACTTTAAATTTCATGGCTAAAAGACTTGGGACATTGGAAGAAGTGAACCTTGTTTGTTCTCTCATTCTGGAAAACTTTGCTTTTGTGCCTGGAACATTCTGTCCAAGGAAGAGCTCCAGAGAAATGTCTGAATGGCCGCCATCCATCCATTCAACATCGAATCTATGCATCCCTCAATTCTTTCATCTATCCATTGTTCAATCCATCCAATATACAGTGTATTCTTTCACCCATCCATCCACCCAATATTCCATCCCTCTATCTCTCCATTCAGCCAATATCATACGCATCCATCCAATCCAATATTGTATCTATCCATCCACCCTATATCCATCTTTCTATCTTGTTTCCTATAAGGACCCTCATCATATCATCATTTTGCAATATGTACCCAGGAACTGATTCCAGAACACTTTTAGACAACTCAATTACCCCAAGGAATAGGTATACATCTCAACTAAATCCTTACCTTAAGTCCCAATGGTCCCATTTCTCCAGGAAGTCCAATGTGACCTGGGGGGCCCTGAGACATGAAAAAAGGGAAGGGGGGGGACATTTTTACCATATGCATTCTAGATGAAAGAATAAGAGAGTGAAGGACATGAAGGAGGATTTATTTCACCATGCAGGCTGAGCTGGACTTTTTCCTTTGCAGAAAAGGGTTGCTTGCTTGAAGTATGAAAGACAAATATTGGAAGTTCTCCAAAATGAAGACTAGATGGCTCTTCTTCTGGCTGATAGGAAGACTGAAAGCTGCCTTATATCATATCAGAGCTTCATTTTACTTAGCCTAGTAACTCTTGAGGGTTTCAGCATGGTATTTTTCTTGGTCCTACCTGGAGAGGTAGGAACTGATGCTGCAAACTTCTGCATGCCAGACAGATCCCATGTTGTTCAGCAATGATCCTTCAAAACCAATCTTGCATTAGGATAATGCATATCTATAACAGGGATGGCAAATATATCCACACGATGGCTGCCATGGGAGAAGTATGGCAAAAGCCATGTTGTGATTTCATTATGCAAATTTTGATCCCGCCCTAACATCCTTGCAGGGTGTAGGCTGGACAATCACTTGACTGGGACCGTATAAGGGTCCCTTCCAGCTCTATGATTCTAAGGACAGGGAGAATTAGTGTCATGGTATAAGCTTTGCCACTCGCCCCCTTGCTGACATCCATCCTTGGGGGACTTGCTTATTTACAGCATGGGTACAGCCCATCATAAAACAGCAATTTATCATTCCAAGAATATATTTTTACAGATAGTCCTTGACTTGAGACACCAATAGGTACTTACAACCTGGTTCTTCAGTTCTAATAGTCGTTCCCCCCTCCCATGTGATTGCATTTTGGGGGGCTCAGCAACCAGCCCATCTTTATGGCCGTTGGTAGCATCCAGCAGTCACTTGGCTGCAGTATACAATGTTTTTGCCATGTTTACTTCAGTTTTTCGGCAAATATACAGCGCTATGCAGTTTTTCATACAGTGCGTTTGCTTAACGACTGTTGCATTCAATTAACAATTGCAGATTTACTTAACAACCAAATGACCACCACAAGAAAAAATCGTGAAGTTGAGTCAGTCACGCTTTGCATCTTATGACCGTAATGGGCAGGCTCCATTACAATCGAAAGCCAAGGACTACCTGCAGTGGTGCCAAAAAGCGTGGTTGAGAATAGAATAGAATAGAATAGAATAGAATAGAATAGAATAGAATAGAATAGAATAGAATAGAATAGAATAGAACACACAAGGAATTTGTCTTGGTGCAAATGCTCTCATTGTACATAAAAGAAAAGACACATTTGTCAAGAGTCAAGAATCATCAGGTACAAAACTTAATAATAGTCATAGGGTACAATCAACAATCAAATCATACTAGGAAACAGTCAATATAAATCATAAGGATACAAGCAATAAAGTTACAGTCATACAGTCACAAGTGGGAGGGGATGGGTGATAAGGAGTGATGAGAAGATTAATAGTAATAGTAATGCAGACTTTGTAATAGTTGAACATGTTGAGGGAATTATTTGTTTAGCAGAGTGATGGCATTCGGGAAAAAACTGTCCTTGTGTCTAGTTATTTTGGTGTGCGGTGCTCTATAGCATCATTTTGAGGGAAGGAGTTGAAACAGTTGATGTCCCGGATGTGAGGGGTCTCTAAATATTTTCACAGCCCTCTTTTTGACTCATGCAGTATACAGGTCCTTGATTGAAGGCAGGTTGGTAGTAATTATTTTTTTAAAATAAAAGACTTTGTTAAGACTGCCGGTTTTGCTGACCTCCTATTAACTTCTTTTAAAATTGGAAAGTATGTTTTAAAAATATCATCATGTGCTCCTTTTGTACAGGGAAGATCACCTAGTTTGCTACTTCAGTTTCTGATCACCATCCAAGAGCACCGAATTCTGCTTGGGTCAGCAAAGTCCTGGGCATTTAGCAGCACATACCAAATTCTCTGATGCTGAATCAGATTGTCAGTATGACTAATAAGCTGCCTAAAATCTCAGGCAGCAAAGAAAGCACTTCTCCTCCCACTGTTTCTTTGCACGCAGACTTGCAAATCTCCCTTGCTTTGATTTCAAAACAACATATTCCAGCTGGAAAAAAATAAGGATTGTACCTGCGCCAGGACGCCAAATTAATCCGTGCATCAGATCTGTTTAACTGCAGGTGGTCCTTGACTTACAACAGTTCACTTAGTGACAGTTCAAATTTACAATGGGCACTGAACAAAAGCGACATTTTTCACAGTTATGACTATTGCAGCATCCCCATGATCACACAATCAAAATTCAGATGCTTGGCAATTGACTCATATTTATGACCGTTGCAGTGTCCTGGGGTCATGTGATCATCTTTTGCCACCTTCTGACAAGCAAAGTCAGTGGGGATTCACTTAACAACCATGTTATTAACTTAACAAGTGTGATTCACTTAACAAGTGTGATAAGAAAGGTCATAAAACGAGGGGAAACTCACTTAACGAATGTCTCATTCAGCAAAAGAAATGTTGGGCTCAATTGAAGACCACCTTTACTTGCTGCGTTGATTGGATTACGTATCCTTATTCAATTTCTGGCTCTGAATACTGATAGTCCTTGACTTATGGCCACAATTGGATTCAGAATTTCCATTACTAACCAAAGCAGTTTTAAGTGAGTCGTGCCTGATTTTATGACCCTTTTTTGCCACAATTGTTAAGCAAATCATGCGGTCGTTAAGCAAGTCCAGCTTCCCACACTGGCTTTGCTTGTCGGAAGCCTGCTGGGAAGGTCACAAATGGTGATTAAGGGACCCCGGGACCCGGCAATGGTCACAAATGCATTCTAGTTGCCAAGGGCCTGGTTCACGTAATCAGGTGACCATGGGGATGCTGTGACAGTCGAGGACTGATAACAAGCCACATTGTCCAGCACCATTGTAATTTCAAATGATCATCAAATGAATGGACTCCAGATACATCAGGAGTATCCGATGACTTTGCATTTAAATGAGAACCAAGCAAATTTCTTCTTTATTGTCATCAAGCACACTACCTACCACACAGGGTAACCCAACATGTCACAAGTCACACTTACGGGAGTCCCTGGAAATCCGGGTCCCTGAAACAGACAGATACAATGTCCTTTTTCAATGCAGGTCAACTGCTGGAAACTTAAGCACTGTAACACCGGCACCAAAATTTCTAAGAGTTAGAAAACGTCTTGCTTTTCTCCAATCAGAATTGACTGAATTAGTGGGATTGTAATTTTTCCAGGGCAAACATAACATTTGAGAACATATTCAAGAAATTCCCACAAAATTATCACCATGCTAAGCATGACCTATCGTGAAACACTCTTATGACAGGAGAGAAATTAATTCCTTGGCTGAAGTCACTCATGACTTAATTTTTTAAGAATACCTGGTGGATGTGAATTGGACCCAGTGGCGCTGTGTTAAATGCGAATTGTGTAGACATTTAGGGTTCAATTCTGGTTCTCCATTGGAACATTCTGAGGCCAAAAGGCGTTTGAGCAAAACCTAGCACTCCATTCTGAGATCCTGTTGCCAAATGAATCAGAAAATTCTAATTCTCTCCAGGTTCCAAGAAATTTGCATTCTTGTAGGATGTATTGTTAACAATCTAATATCATAAGCAAAGGCTTGGTTTTGGCTTATTCAAATCCTGGCTAGGGAAGCCCTGGCTAGATCAAAACTCAAGCCATGATTGGAAAACCATGGTCTCTCCCAGCTGTATTATAGTTATCTGTCATTACTGTTTACAACGGAGGTATTTTCTTTTCCAGCACGTGTAAAGAAAAGCAGACACTTACTGGGAGCCCCGGTGGTCCTGGAAGTCCCAATTGGCCCTGCATCATCACAAGAGAAAAGAGAAAATTGATATGCGGGAGCCACAAAACAAGACTTTGATTCAACTTCCAATTTCCAATAGACTTGTTTGTCTATGGAGATTCTCAGTCATCCAGGTCATGGTTGTCCCAAAGGTGCTTTTTTTTAAAGAGGCAACCGTTGTTGTTGGTTTTTTTGAAGATGTGAAAAAGGGTATGGAGCTTTCTTGGAACTGCTGAAAGAACTGTGTTGTAGACAAGATAAACAAAAAAAAAAAAAACCCAACCCACTTCATAAACAATATAGGAGAACAAACCCATCAGGACAAGATTGAGCAGCCCATCTGCATTTAAAAGACAAAAGCCATCCTTTTGAAGACAGCACAGTCCACCACTGGTTTGAAAGAGAGGTCAAAGAGGCCATGTATGTCAAAGCTGAACATGCATCTATCCCCAATCTACAACACGGTCCTTTCAGCAGTTCCAAGAAGGCTCCACACCACTTGCACCAGTCAGGTAACCCTGAGGACACAGAGGGGCCTCAGTGATTCTCTAAAATTATGCAAATAGCCATCTGTCTGCAAGGTATATAAATCCTTCCATTCTCCACCATCCAGTCAGAGCGGAAGAAGCTTTTTGGATAAGAAGTGAAACCTCTTCAAAGAAAAACCAGAAAATTCAATTGCCTCTTGGGGGGAAAAAAAGCACCTTTGGGACAAAGATTTATTTCTTGAGCAGATGCAGGCTTCAGCTTCAAAGTCCCAAACCTGATCTGCCACCACCTGAGAGACCTGTTTTGTTTTTTTTTCATCTGCCATCATCAGCAAGGAGAAGATGAGAACATCTAGAACAGCTGGGGGGGGGAGGGGGCTATATGAGGATGCTTTTTGTAGATTTGAGTTCTGCCCTTAATACAATTCTTCCACATAGACTAGTGTCTAAACTTCTGGACCTTGGATTTTCTAATTCAGTCTGCCTTTGGATTATGGATTTCCTGTCTGGCCGCTCACAGAGGGTCAGATTAGGTCATCATACCTCTTCAGCCCTTATTCTTAACACTGGTACACCACAGGGTTGCGTGTTGGGTCCCTTACTCTACACTCTTTATGTGCATGACTGCATTCCCACTCCCACTAGTAATACTATTACTAAATTTGCAGACGATACAACAGTGGTGGGACTCATCTCCGGAGGGGATGAGTCTGCCTACTGAGATGAGGTGGACCAATGGTTACTTTCACGGTGTGGAGACAATAACTTGGTCCTCAACACCAATGAGCTTATAGTGGACTATAGAAGGAACAGATCAGACATCCAGCCCTTGCTTATCAATGGAGACCGAGTGAAGCAAGTGGACAGTTTTAAGTTTCTGGGTGTTACCATAAAAGAGGACATGACATGGGGTGCTCACATTGTAGCACTGGTCAAAAGGGCCCAGCAGAGATTATACTACCTGAGACTTCTCAAAAAACAGCAACTGAATGAAAAACTGCTGGTGACCTTCTACCGCTGCACCACAGAGACCATTTTAACATACTGCACCTCTGTATGGTTTGCCAATTGCACAGGGGCAGATAGCAAAGCACTCCAGAGGGTTAACGTCATTGCCCAGAGGATCATGGGTTGCCCTCTCCCCTCTTTGGAAGAGCTTTATAGCTCCCGCTGCCTTAAGAAAGTTCAAAACATTCTCAAAGATCCATCTCATCCTGGGAACCCTTTTTTTGAACTATTATCATCTGGCAGACAGTACAGGACAATAAAAACAAGGACAAATAGGCTGAAAAAAAGCTTCTATCCCAGGGCAGGAGCTCTTTTGAATTCTACTGCATAGTGCAGGGTTGGTGCGGTTTTGGGGGTTTTCAATTCAATGTGTGGAGTGTGAAGGATGTGTGTTTGTGTTTATTTTCATGGTCATGGTCATGACATGCACTGAAGATGGTGTTTGATTTCGTTGTAGGAGGTGCAATGACAATAAAGTAAACTAAACTAAACTAAGGAGAACGCAGAAGATACAATCTGTCCCAGTTCGTAGCGATGACCGCTTCTCCCATGCCCGACAGGCACAGGGACCTTTCCCGTTCGTTCTTCTGCAGTAGTAATAACAGTCGTGGAGTTAGAAAGCAGGATCAAAACCTGAAGTCAGTCATGGATCCTGGGATACATTTCTCCAAACAGTGCCTCCTCCCTCCAATGTGAGATCACAGCTGGTGGGGGTATCTGGAGTTGCAGTCCCAGCACATGAGAAGTAGCAAGCTGAGGAAGAATGCTTTGGTGCCTTCAACACATTACATGCATCAAAATCTCTCCCCCAGGCAGAAAAAAAACCAGTTACTCACTTTGGGACCTGGTCTTCCAACACGGCCTGGCTCTCCTTTAGCTCCCGTAAGGCCCTGCGAAGAAGAAGAAGAAATAAGAAAAAGGATAAGGAAAACTAGAGGGATCGGTTTGAGGGTATCAAACCAGCATTTGTAGAGAGAAGCAGAAGCTTGGCTAAAGCCCTAGAAGATAAGCCAGGAATAATCAAGGAATCTGCTAAAGTCAGATTAAGGTTTGAGAGGGAATGGAACACAATCTAAAGGAAACACGTGTTTGTATCCCTTTGCATACTTATATGAAGCCACATAATCTTCTAAATAAGGACCCAAAGTCCTGTGGATATGCTGAACTGCAGTTCAGATTTTGGGCTGAGCAACTACTCACATCTATTCCGGGTTTTCCTGGAGCTCCATCTGGTCCTGGCAGGCCTGGATCTCCTTTGATCCCCTGTTGCAAAGAAATGATGGGGACATTAAAAGTGTCCTCAAAATATTCAAGAAGAAGAAGGTGCCTCATGCCTGGAAAATCTCTGGAAAGATTCAAGCTGTTGTTGTTCAACTTAATGCCCTCCAGGTATGTTGGGACATGCAATCCTGAATTTAGCCATGCTGGGTGAGAATGATGGAATTAGTAGTCCAAATTAATCTGGAGAATGCCCCTCTGGGAAGGGCAAGTTAGATTGTCCAAAGCTCAAAATTTCCACATTCCTCACTAGTCCTTGACGTATGACCACAACTGATCCCAAAATTTCCACTGCTAGGCAAGAAAGTTGAGTTGTGCCCCATTTAATGACTTCTTTTGCCACAGATGTTAAGCAAATCAACAGTCACTAAGTGAATCATGCAGTTATTAAGCAAAGCTGGTTTTCCCCATTGACTTGGCTTGTTGGAAGCTAGCTGGGAAGGTTACAAATGTTGATCACGTGATCCCAGGTCACTGCAACTGTCATAAGTACATGCCAGTTGCCAAGCACTTGAATTTTGATCATGTGACCATAGGGATGCTGCAACAGTTATAAGTATGAAAACTGGTCATGTCGTTTTTTTTCAATGCCATTTTAACTATGAACGGTCACTAAATGAATGGTTGCAAGCCAAGGGCTACTTGTATAGGTCAGGTAGTCCTTGAAGTATGACTGTAATGGAGCCTGTTCATTGGGGTGGTAAGTTGGGACGGACGTAAAATGAATCAGTCATATGATTGCCCCGATTTTACAACCCTTTTTGCAGCAGCTGTAACGTGACCACAGTGATTGTAAAACAAATACTATGGTAAAACAAACCCATGGTTTTTTTTATTATGGGGGCGGTTTTGCAAATCCCAGAAGTAAAACATGGTCACATGACTTCCGGATCCTGGAAATGCCCCTAAACTCAACTGAAGTTTGGTCACGTGACCATAGAAGCAACCTGATCATCTGAATTTGGTTGTAAGTAGCTCAAGGTAGGTGAATCATAACTTTGAATGCTTGCTAAGCAACTGGTTGTAAGTCAAGGACTACTTACATAGTAATTGTCCACAAAGAGTGTCCTTCAAAATATGCTATTTTTTGCAACACCTAGCAAAGACCTATAGCCTCCCTCTGGGACTACTTACATAGTAGTTGTCCACAAA